ACCTTCGAGTTTAAATAAATCGAAAACGGTGATATCTATCGAAATATTACAAGAGCACCTTTTTTGCGTAGAAAAGTCTAAGGAAACAATTTTTAAAATATTTTTTTAAAATATGTAAAAATTAAAAAACATGTGACGCAATAACCCCCACTTACCCTCCAAAACTACCCTGTATTAATATAGGATGTGGTAGGTGGTGACATGAAATTAATTATCCTAATGTCTTATAATCACTCCCAAAATATGAACTCCGTATTCAAAACCGTTTGGAAGATATTTGAAAAAATAAGAATTTCAATTCACCCCTTTAAAGGGTTGTATCTCCCTTATTATTCAGTTTTATAAAAAAGTGTACATAAAGAAGTACCCTTATTTTTGGACGTACTATGAGCTCTAGAAATTAATGTACATAATTCTGGACCACCTTGTATGAGGAGAGGAATGGTGGTAGGTTGGTGATCAGAAGGTATCGACTTTACGTGACGTGACGTTCTCGATCTTTAAACATGAGAACTTCTTATTTTAGGAATCTCATGTCACATGAAGTTGGGTTTAATTTGTATGTATATGTGCATGTTATTATATCTATCATTTTCTCGCATTTTTCATTAATCCTTTTTCATTTGTCCATTTTTATTTTTCTTTTAATTTTTTTACTGCAAAAATCAAAATTTGTTAAACTATTAAAACGCAAAATATGCTTCTATAAGAAAATGTAACCGATTCTTAAACATAAATTACTATCCACTAACTTGATATCTTGATAACAAGATATCTATTGCCTTTAGAATAATTGAAAGCTCTTTTTAAAAAGTATAAAATTTTGCGCTTCATTGGCACATTAGATAATACAGGTTAAACTTATTTGAGACCAACTCTGTCCTTTCTATCAACAAACAAACCTTACACTGGATTCTGATACGGAATTTGATGGGAACGTGGTCACAGATTATTTCAGATTTATTAACCAGTCCACCAACAACGACAAGCACTCAAAGCGGGATTTGATGGCTCATTTGCTCCAGGGAATATTCGGAGAATATTTTGAACGCTAAAAGGTAATTAATTTAACAGTAAGGCTTTATGCGACTGCACCGGTATTACGTAAAAATGTAGACTGATATTTAATCTACCATGCAAGGGGATTACTTGGGATATATTAAATACTAGTGCAACAGTTTCATCCAGGGTTCTCCAATATTAGGTCGGCATAGGATATACGGTGGAGGTAAAAATTTATGGCCGGTATATTAACACAGATATAAAATCATATTTACAGCGAATAGACAAAGGTAACAATCATATTTCCCCTTGGTCTCCTATCCACATTCCTCATGCATGCCCATTAGTCAACGCCAGACGATTATTTCCGATCCAGTTTATACGTAAGAAACAGCGGCAGGGTTGCCTTATTACATATTTGAATTAAAACATTGAATTGATCCAAAAAATTGGCGGTCAGTGGCGCGGTTATATTGCCACTCAAAACTGGATGATGATATTAAAAATGAAATACTAATTGACATAAATAGTGGTACAAAATTTCTTAAATCTATACCTATATGAAACATAACTGTAGAATAAAGAATATAACAATAATAGAAACAAACGTATCGGCCATTATTCATCAATTTGTAAAGTTTGGCTGTAATAATGGCAGATGTAAAAAATTCTGCCCATCAGATCAACCTCGCGAAAAGAAAATTTCTCAAGAACGAGAAATGAGAGAAATTCAAGTTTGTGCATTGCCTGAAGGGACGCCGTGTTCAAGTAAACAAATTGCCGATAAAGTTGATTTGAATTCCAAAAAAGTAAGGAATATTTGAAAACAAATAACTACCATAGTTTATAAAATGCAGAAAACTCAAGAAATATTATCTAATGATCAATTTAAACGGATGCAATTTTTGTGAAATTATGATGGAGAGATGCCATGCAAATAATTATTTTTTGAAAAATATTTTGTTTACAGATGAGTCTTCCTTCACAATTCACAAGAAACATAATCCATCCGTTGAACGTTATTGGAGAATAAGCATTTTAGTGTGTCTGTGCGTACGAAGTATCTACAAAAGTTGAGTGTTTGGACTGGAATTTTGGGAGACCATATTATTGGTCCTTTTTTCATTGAAGGCAATTAAACGCAGTAAAATATCTCCAATTATTGCAAAATCAAATATTCCTGCACTTCAACGTCTTTAAATTAACTTCAACGAAATTTGGTTTCAACAAGACCGTTGTCCTGCACATAAATGCAAAAGCCGTTAGAGACTATTTAGCTTTAATTTTTGCTGAACGTGTCATTAGTACAGCCGGTACAATAAAATGGCCCCCTCGGTCACCCGACTTAGCTCCTCTAGATTTTTTTTTTTGGGGGATGCTAAAGACAAAATTGTACAGGCATCAGTTTGAGCGAGCCACCAACTTGGAGAAACTGAAGGAAAAGATAATCCAACTTACCAAAACATATCGGCAGATGAACTCAACGCCATGAGAAATGCATTGTATTAGATTTGGTTACTGTTCCTTACAATTTGGTGGTCTGTTTGAATATTTAATTATCTGAGAATTCTATTTGGTTTAAAAATTTCCAATTGTTTGGAAATTTTTTTAATTTAAACAGTAGTGTTGGAAATATTTTTTATTTGATTTCATTCTTATATAACAAATTTTATACTTTTATATTAATTTTATCTTTATTGTGTAATTTTTATAGAATTAATTTTTATTTTTACACCATACTACCCTCCAAAAAATCTAAACGAAAATATGTTTTTAAAGATATTATTTGGAAAATACGAAATACTATCTTATTTTTAATTAAAACACGTAATTTTTCATCCTGTTAAATTTTAATATAATACACCTACTCCCTTCCTATTGCTTTATTGGTACTGTTTTTTATTTATTATGCTTTATAAAAGACCAACGGACGAAATCCATACAATACGCATAGCATACCAAACTAGCTCTGCTCTGCTCTTTACCACAGTATTAAAATCAAAGTGCCGTTACTTTGATGACGCGAAGTTGCCAAATAATTTTGTATAAAGTTTTTTTATTGTGGCGTCATAATATAGTTTATTATTTTTACTGGGAATAAGGCACAATATGACTTTAAATTAAGCTTATTTTGATGTTTAGATTTCCAATTCAGAATCGAACTTCTTCTTATTCTTCCTTCCAGTATGTAGACTTTAAAGCCTGTTCCTTATTTAATATTAGCCTTCTAAATTTTTAAATTGTCGCACCATCTTTTTCTTGGTCTGCTAATACTTCTTCGTCCATTTGGTGACTTATTTCGTGCTATTTTGACAGTCGTCTTGTTTTAGATGTGTCAGGTCTTGTTGTCTCCGCCGTGTATGTTAATATAGGTCTAATTGCTGCTCTATAGATTCTTGTTTTTGTGTCTTGTCTTTGGTGTTTGTTCTTCCAGATTTTGTCATTAAGAGATCCCGCCATTGTACTTGCTTTTAAGCTTTGTTATCATACTTCATCTTCAACATCTCCGTAACTAGTTATATCTATTTCCAGATATAAAAAACTTTGCTTCCTGCTTTATTATTTTCTCATCAATTTCGATTTTACATCGTAGTGGATATTTAGATGTTGTCATTCATTTTGTTTTTTTCTGCTGATATATCATATTGTATTTCTTGGCTGTTGTATTTAAGATGTGTGTTAATCTTTGGAGCTTGTCTTCTTCTGGGAACTTTGGGGAACTAATATTAACTAATGTTTCCGTGGCTCCTATCATTTTTCAGTTTTTTTTGTTAATCGCCACGTTTCACATTCATGTACTAGCAAAGTTTATCAGAGTATTATAATATTAAACATTTTCTTGTTTGTTATATTCTTGTTAAGGAACCCTATAGCATTTTTGGCTTGCATTACTCTGGTGTTAATTTCTTGGTTATCTGTTTCTTCTAGATTGAATATTATTTCTAGATATTTGTATTCATTAACAGTCTGTATCTCTTTGTTGTCATTAGTAAGATTTGCTGTGCCTCTTCCAATAATGAAATATTTGATTTTTTTGGTATTAAATACTAGTCATCATTTCTGATATTCTACAGTCAGCTTTCTTATCATCTTTGTTATCGTTTGGTCTGACGACCTAATTATCTGTAAATTGTAGTTATATGTAGACACGTATTATTTAATTATAATCCCATACCATGGCATTTTCTTTTCAAGTACCCAATACTTTTACTAAATATTTTTTTAACAGTGTTGGAGAAATGCAGCAACCTTGGCGTAGCCCTTTTAACACATCCAAGTGATAGGGTGTTGCCTATTTTAATTTGAGATGTCGACTTAAATTTTGCAAAGGATCAATACAAAATCAAAAACGCTTAAAAAATAATTTTTTATCTTAATGAGGCAACAATCGTTCCTCAAAGAACCCAGAACAGAGCTAAAATACTAATAAAAAGTAAACCTGTTGTTGCTGAAGAAGCTGAAATGCTTGGCAAGGAAGAAATTTTAAATATTTAATTTTAACCAAGCGCTGTAACAAAGAAAAAAGTTTTATTTGGTGTTTCGCTGATATGCTAAGATTTATTTAAGTCAGACAGTTTTTAAGCTCTTATTTTTTAAACAAAATCCATCAGACCAAAACTGTTCAATTAAAGAAATAATTATAAACAATTCTTTACCTATATTTGCCCTGTTAATTTACAAATGTGTAATACTCATACACTCATGATTATATTTGCACATCCAAGAGCAGAAGGGATATTCATTTTCAATTAATTAACAGAAAACTATTAACACACCCAAGTGATTTCCAGCGAAAATTGGGTAAAATTTACATTCAATGTAATATGTGTTGATAAAACATTCTCATTGCGTCACTTTGGCTATAATTAAACATTCTATACGATATTTGAAAATGATTGATAAAACGGTTTTTATGAACAACAATAAATTTATGTATAGCTTAAAAATATTACAGGTTTAAAACTTACTACAGTATTAGATAATAGAAAAATTATATATTATAGTTTAAAAAAATTGTTTATTATATCTGACACTTTTTGTATGTTATTTCCCAAAAGTATAGTTTTGTGATCTCCATCAATTTTTTCTATCTGCGGTGCCTGATTACATACCTACAAATTAAACAAATTAAAAATATATGATGTTTATACACATTTAGTAACTGTTTTTAATAAACTAGTGTTTTTAAAGCTTACAAATGAACTTACTGCAAAAAATTGTTAAGTCCATGTTTGGACATTTTTTGGGACTCTCTAACAACTATAGAAATCTATAGGAAAACTAATAACTATAGGAAAAAGTCAACAAAGTGCCTAGATCCAAACCCGATAAATCGATCAACTTTCTAACTCAAACTAACACTATTTCTAAAAGCTCACAAGAAATATCCAACATACTAGCATACTTATGAATATAACTCAAGTAACTTAATTTATACCTCCAATTTCTTAGATATCAAAATAAAAGAAGAAAAAAATCTCATAGAATATTATGGTCAAAACAATAACGATCTAAATTTACCAATAACAGAGAAAGAATTAGAAAATGTATTTCAGAAATGTAAGAACACTGGTCCTGGACCCGACAATTTACCGTTTATATTTCTTAAAAATTTAGGCCCTCAATCTAAAGAACATCTACTCAAAATCTATAATATAATCCCATTCAGAAACGTGTTTCCTAAATCATGGAAAAATTCAATCATAATACCTATTCTAAAACTAAACCAAAATCAGATCTACAAACATATCAACCGATATCACCCACATGTAGCCTAGGTAAATTATTAGAAAAGATAATAAACAATAGGCTTATGTGGTATTTAGAATCAAACAACTTAATCATTCCAGAACAATGTGGTTTCCGAAAACATCGCTCAACATTAGACAACCTTGTTGACTTAGAATCAGAAATCCACGAACCATTAGCAATAAAACAGCACTGTGTTGGAATATTTTTTGATATAGGCAAAACATATGATACAGTTTGGAAATACTCAATCATTAAAACACTCAGCAACTGGTTAATAAGGCGTAACATATTAAATACATTTCAAATTTTCTTGAAAACAGACAATTTCAAATTCGAGTTGAGGTAACATATTCGCAAACGAGAATTCAACAAGACGGTATACCGCAAGGATCAAACTTAAGCACAACTTTATTCTTCAAAAATTATCAAAAAAATCCAAACAAAAGAATTATATCTACACGAACAAAAACTAGATTATGTAGAAAAATCCGATTCTTGGGTATGACGTTTGATAAAAAATTTACTTGGAAGACACATATTCAACAGCTGAAAAAATCCCTGGGGTGATGATTATTCAAGTTTATTACTTATTTACAAATGCATAATTGGATCAAAACTTGACTATGTTGTACTTTAGGTGCTCAGTACATAAGTCCCATTCAAAGTCTCTATTGAGAAAGTGGAGAACTTCCTCTTTCTTTCAGAAGACATTATCTAAGCATAATATATGCAGCTGCAGTGTCATTAAACCGAAATAATCCAGTACTGCATAACGTTTTTGCTGATCGATGTACAAATAAATTTCAACAAACACATCGAATTGATCATCCTTTCTACTTTCGTATACAATCATACTTATCCAAATTAAATATTCAACTTCCAAAAACCTATGATACTTTTTCAATCCACAACCTGCACCATGGACAATATCTATTCCTGCTATCGACATCAGTCAACAAACAACAACAAAGAAAATCAGAGATATCATCAACCGTCAATAAAAAAAGTTTCATACACTATTAAACAGATATGGAAATACCTACAAGATATACATCGATGCCTCAAACACTGAATACAGAGTTGGAGAAGCAATTTATTCGGAAGACTCCTCAGTTATTTTCAAATTGTCGTCAATTACAAACCATCTTTTTAAGCTGAATTATTCGCAATTCTAAAAGCACTATTCTTAATACAAAACAAAAACAAAGAAAAATGTATAATAATTACAGATTCTCTACGTTCATTATCCTCACTGACTCAATTGTACTGTGAAACGCTTCTACTTCTTATTAAAACAGAACTTAAAAACCTTTCAAATAAGAACATCCAAGTTCACTTTTTATTTGTGCCTTCTTGAAGGTAACGAAGTTGTATATAAACTGGCTAAAAACGCACCAACTAACCCGATGTCGGGAGAAAGTAACATATTGATACAAAACGATTTAAAACCATACTTAAAACAAAAAAAATTTAAAATTGCAACAAACTTGGAACAACACTCCATCAAGGCTATACGAAGTATAGATCCACATCTTTGGAAACCAAAAATAAAAGACAGAAGAGAGCAAGTGATACTTACCGGTCTCCGTATCGGCCATACACGACTTACTCATGACTATTTATTACAGCACAAAAATAAACCAGTGTGTGAAGTGTGCAACAGTGTTTTAACGGTAAAACATTTTTTAATACAGTCTCCCAAATATAACAGTGAACGACTCAAATATAGCATACCCAACTCCCTAAGAGATGCCCTAGAAGAAAATACAGACACCCAAAAGATATTTTCTTATCTTAAAGACTGTTAACTTCTTCAAAAGATCTAAAACATTCTTGTAATACACATACATATTATTATTATTATTATTGTAAACTAATGTATATACGCTAATTGTATCTACTGTCACATTAATCTAAATACGCTAATGACCCTGCGTGATCGATGCGTTATTAAAATAAAAAAAAACTATGCGTACCCTTCAATGTAAACTAAATTTTGTATTAAACAATTTGTGAATTTACTATCAGAAAAAATTTATTGCAAAATAAAAAAAAATTCTTGCAAAATTAGCAAAAACTATTGAAAAAAGATTAAAAATCAAAAATATTTGCAATTTCGTATACTCATCTAAATTGGTAAAACGTTATTTTTACAATTTTTTTTAGCAATTTTTTATTTCTACCGTTCTCAAATTTCACCTGAATTTTACCAAACTTTTCAGATGAAGCAATACTTACTTTGTTTAAATCATAATCTTCCGTACTAAATGGATTCTCAATTCTTCTTATTAACAGAATTCTTCCTGATAATTTCTTGGATGGTTTATAGAAGAATCCTGCTTCTATTCGTTGAATCAAACACTTTGCTGATATTAAAATTTTTAATTGATCTATTTCTGTTACTTTTGAAATTAATTCACTCGAACTCTGCAGTTTTTTTTCCAAACCCTTCTCATTACTTAAGCATGTTATTATCTGAAAAGAATATATTAGTACATACATTTGAGGTAATTCCATATAGAAAAATAAATCTGGATAACAAAAATATAAATAAATGTTAATAAAAGTTAATTTTTGATGTGTACATATATGGAAGGATTAATGCAGAGAGCTCTTGGCGAAGGACACAACAGGAGAAGAAATGAATAACGAGGAGGAAACGGTGCACAAAGAAGAAGAAAACGAAGTAGATGAAGCAGACATCGACATTTTAAAAGAACCAACATTAAAGGAACTGGAGGAAGTAATACAGAGAAGCGAAAAAATGGAAAAGCTCCTGGTGAAGATGGAATTAATATGAAACTAATAAAATACGGAGGAAGGGGGCTGAGAGAAAAAATACTGGAACTATTGAAAAATATATGAAAAGAAGAGAAAATGCCATAGAAATCACTAAATTTGTGAAAATTATAGAGCAATAACGTTACTAAATACAACATATAAAATATTAAAATCAATAATAAAAAGGAGGTTATCAAAGATCACAAAATAGACAGTGGGACAGTACCAATGTGGATTCACAGAAGGAAGATCTACAATAGATACAATACACACAATAAAACAAATAATGGCAAAAACAAATGAATATAAATTAGAATTGGAAATGTGATTCATAGACTTCAAACAGAAATTTGATTTTATTAAAAGGAAAGGATTGATGATAGCACTTAAAAAATTTAAAATTCCACATAAACTTAGAACCTTACCTCTTTTTGTTCTATTTGAGGAAATGTCATACAAAAATTCTCCAAAATAGCTTCCCTAGAATTCTCAATCGAATTTCCTTTCGACATATGCGTAGCTTTGAGAATTTCATGGACCACTGATGGTGAACCATCAATATATACTATGTCAACTTGGTCACCGGCACTCTCTAGCTGTATTCCAATTTCTGTCCCTAGAGCACATCCATATGAGTATCCACATAAATTGTAAGGTCCTTTAGGTTGAATTTCTTTAATTTTTTTGATAAAGTACTTCCCAAAATCGTTCATAGTACTCATCGCAGTCTCACTTGTACACTGAAGACCATATACTGTGGCATTTAAGTTACTTCCAAGTGGTTTTAACATATTAACATGGCCTTCGATTGGATGAATTACAAAAATATTTGTATTCGAACTTTTGTAATCACGTAATTTGACTAAAGGATCATCGGCTACAAGGTATGTATTTGCTTCAACTTGTACACCAAAAGAAATATCTTCTGTTTTACTAGAATCTGAAGAATCGAGGGCATTTAATGTGAGTTCTCGAATTTCTTCGGGACTTATATCTATATTAAAGTTTCGATATAGAGTTTGTTTAATTTCTGTTACCATTAGAGAATCCAGACCAAGTTGTGACAAAGTCATAGACTTATCGATTGTGTCTAAAAATAAAATAATAAATCATTTAAATTAAGTTTATATTAAAACGTTCAAAATTTAATTCAAGTTTAGCAATTAGATTTAAATAAAAAGTTACCAAACGGTATACAGAACTGCTACATGCACAGATAAATCGGGACAAGCAGTAGCTGACGAGACATTCATGTCCGCGTAAGCCAGGGTTAGCGCCAAAAATGTTACTTTTCCCGAATGACGCTTCTTCAAACACCCGACATTACCTAGCGTCCCCAAGTTTCTACCCTGCAATCAATACATTCCAACAAAATGTAAGTGAGCTTTCACGAATTGATAACATTGAATAAGTTACGCCAGGTAGTCTTATTTTCAATTAACTTCTTCTTCTTAACGTGTCCCATCCCTAAGGACATTGGCGATCATCACGGCCCATTTGACTCTATCTGCAGCCGTTCGAAAGTTCTATTGACGTTTTCCCACTTCATTGTCTCAGATTCTTCAACCAGGACGTGCGTCTTCTTCCCGGTCCTCTTTTGTCTTCCACCTTCCCTTGTATGACCAGCCGCATCGTATATCTCGTTTCTTAGTATGTGACCAAATTAGCTCATATTTCTTTTCTTATAGCTCATTATAGTGTAGAGTATTTCTTTATCTTTTTTCATTCTTTGTAGCGTTTCCGCATTTGTTATGTGTTGTGTCCAAGATATTTTCCACATTCTTCGATAACACCACATTCTTTTTTCTGTCGACTCTGTAATTGTCCAGGCCTCAACTCCATACAACAGGACAGAAAAGACGTAGAATTCTGATACTTTAGTTCTAATTTCAATGTTGAGTTTTCCATTGCATAATATTGCTTTCATCAATATCTATCTATCTCAATACGCCGTTTTATTTCCGTACTTCTATCCCATTCTTCATTTAGTTCGCAACCTAAATATTGATATATTTGCACCCTGCCTAAAAGTTTTCCTTTAGCATGAACACTCTCTTTCTCTATCTTGTTCTTGCTTACCACCATGATTTTTGTTTTATTTGTATTTAGCGCCATTCCATACCTTCCGCAGTATTGGGTTATGCGATCAAACAAAATCTGTAGTCCTTCTCTGTTCAAGTAAAGGGAAAAGCACACATCCTTGTCGTACTCCACGATTTACAGGTATTTCTTTCGATTTTTGTTAGTCTATTTGTATTATGGCTTTCTGATATCTTTATAGATTGGCAATGATTCTCACGTCTTCGTCATCTAATTCTGCGCTCTGCAGTATTTTTGCCATTCTTCCATTCCATTGCCGTACAAAGTACATCACCGTACTTTGTAGAAAGCTTTTTCGAAGTCGACTAGACATATTGCAATTGAAATCTCGACATCATTCGAGTGTTTGTACAGTAAATAATGTTTCTCTAGTGCCAAAGACTTTTATGAATCCCAATTGATTTTCAGCTATTCTATCATTTAGCTTTGTATAGATAAGTTCGTGTATCACTCGTAAGAACACTTTTAGAATATGGTTCATCAAGCTAATTGTCCTGTGCTCTTCACACTTCATTGCGTTCGATTTTTTGGGTACTGGGTACTACATGGATTTTCTTTCGGAATCTCTTCCGTTTAATAAATGCCATTAAATAATTCTATTAGTAAATCGGTAAAGTAATTTTTCGAAACCGAATTAGTTTACGGATTTATTATCAGATGTCGCTATTTGGGTCCATACAGGGCCATGTCAGTGTTGCTTCTACTACGACAGGAAATATTTATTTTCACATCCAGAGCGTCTGTAAATAGCCGCTCTGAAGATCCCTTTTAGGGTATAATACGCATAAGCGGATATATAGACACACTATACGTAAAATCAAATCTTAACTGTCTTTTCCTTTTAATTCTATTTCTATTTCATATAGCCCATATGATTTTTTGTTAATATTCTTAAGATTTCTGTAGGTATTTCATCTGGCCCCATGGCCTTGTCATTTTTTATATGCTTTAACGCTTTCTTAATTTCAACTTTGGTGATTGGTGGCCCATTTCTTCCACTTGGTTCAATGACCTCAATGTTCTCGTCGTCTTCGAATAGCTCTTTTATGTATTCATCCCATCTGTTGATTTTATCTGTACATTCCGTTATTGTACATTCTGTACATTCAATTAACAGCTAATTTTACTTACAATAAATTGTTGCATTTTTTCGTTAGTCTTATTATTAAACCATGGATTTCAATATGTTTTACATAAAAAACGCTTATATTTGGTGATATAACTTACCAAGATTTTTTATTCCTAAAATGTGAGCTACTGCTTCTACTGGTGTTTTGGTCTTCTGTTTGCCTATTTGGTCATCTCTCTCACTGATCACCACGCTAGATCCTATAACGTACTTGTCTACCATAAACCTTTCCAAGGTATTTAAGCAAGAATCTAAATTTTGAGGTAAGATGTCATGGAATACCTGGGAAATAATGAAATACAGGGGAATAAATCAAAATAAAACAAAACACCTAATATGCTCAAGAAAAAGTACAGTTAACGTGACACGGATAAATATTGGGGAATATAAGTTTGAAAAGGTAACATACTTTAAATACCTTATGAGTCCCCGTTAATGGAAGTAATCATTACTATGCTAAATTAAGCATAGTAATCAATAAAAAATTCTGACAGAAAACAGAACTAAAAAATCCACCGATTGTATATTAAATAGATTCAAAAATCGACAAATTGCTTGAAATCGAAAAACTCATTTTAACTTTGGAATCTGATGAGAAGCTACAAGCAAGTAAAATGTATCAAAACATAATCACTGGAACTTAACTTACCCTGTCTTCAATTCCCATTTTTTGTAGAATCCCGACCTCGCCTATGGGTCCCCATTGAATAGCCACAGCGGGTAGCTCTTCTCTTCTACGTTTCTCACATAACATTTCCATAGCTGAATTAGCCATTCCGTAGTTAATTTGTCCAATATTTCCTCTTCCGGTAGCAATAGACGAAAATACTACAAAGTAGTTTAAATCCGGGCAAAGTTTTCTGCTGCATTTGTCAATATTTTGAGCCGATAAGATTTTAGGCTTAAATACTTCTTGGAAGGTTTCTTTAGTTTGGTCCAAGAAAAATTGGTCTCTCAATACTAAGGCAGAGTGGAAAATACCTACAAAATAGTAAACATTTTATTAACAAATACTGTATGTTCCAACGAAAATTTGACCCCTCCATAAAGTCAGAAACCAAGATTTTCTTCAAAATTTAAAAAACAAGTCAATTTGTATTGGGAGGGGGACGAATTTTTATGCAGATTACATGCCTTCAAATGTAACCATATAAAATTTCATCAAATTAACCAATTAAATGTTTGAAATGACCTCCTGTGACCTCCATACAATAATACAGCATCTTCGTACATTTGCAAATACCTTCGGTGTCAATAATCGGCATTCTGTCATAATTATTTGTCGCAACTATGCAAGATATGCAGGCAGAGTGGAGTATATTTTTAATTTTAGGTATTCCCACCAAAAAAATCCAAAGGCGAAAGATTCGGTGATCTGGCCGGCCACTTTATTCAACCCCTTCTGCCAATCCAACGCCCTGGAAACGTTGATTCAAAAATTGTCTTACGCGTATATCATAATGTGGTGCTATTGGAAAGTCAACTCATCCCCTAAAAGATGATTATCACATTCCAATGTGTCAGTGATCAACGGATCAATATCGTCTTCTAACAAATTGAATAGGTTGTTCTAGCTACTTATGCTTGGTGTTGTTAACGTCACCTATAGCTTTACATTTATGTTAAATGTTTAATGTATTGGTGACTTATGTATTCTTCTGGGTGGTTCGTATTAAATATCCTTGCCGTAGCTTTAGCACACTGATTATTTCCATAGTATAGCTTAACTAATTCTATTCTTTCTTTCCATATCCCATTTTTGTAAACCCTAACAAAAGTACTCTTAAATAAAAGGTGACCTGGTAAATATCAAAGAAGATAATTAGGATTCATTATCTTAAAAAAATTCATATGAAGAAGTAATATTTTTACCAAAAAGAAAAAAAAATATCTTCAACACATTGGAGTGTTGATATAGATTTGCAGGTTGATTAAATTATTGTATTACAGGATACTAAGAACATTTAATTAGTTAATTTGATGAAATTTTATGTTTTTTCCTTTATTACTGATATTCAATCCATAAATTAGTTAAATCCAAAATTACCAAAATCGAAAATTACCAAAATAAAGTCAATACAAAATTACGCCAATAAAAAAAATACTTAAATTTTCGTGAAGAGACAAAAAATTACCTTTCTAATGATGTGCCACTACACCAGACCATACGTGCTATTAAAAACAAAACTGGGGTTGATGCGGGGCAGACTAGGGGTTACATTTGAGGGCAAGAATTTTGCATAAAAATTCGTCCCCCTTCAACACAAATTAACGTGTTTTTTTCAAATTTTGAAGAAACTATTCGTTTCTGAGTTTCTGGAGGGAGGACTGTTAAATTTTCCTTTGAACCCACTGCATATACAGTAGATTACGTAAGTTTTAATTAAGAATTAAAAAATAAATATTAATTTAAAAAGGGAAAATTTTCATTTAAATATACAAATTACAAAAGAAAAGTTTTATTTCGATGTTTGAATTTTTTGAAAAACTAAAGACTTTTTCAACTTTCCAGTTTTTGGTATGTAATTGATATCAACAAAAAGTTTGACATATACTGATAACAGTCATGATAGAACTTAACGCAGTCCCATCTGGACTTCTTTCCAATTTATATGATTTTGGTTTTTATATGAATTTTAGATGCTATATTTTATAGTAAAGCAAGTGCAAGAGCATCCTTCCCTATCGAGTGTCTGTCTTCTCCAGCCCCTCACTCCAATTTCCCTTAGATCTTCCTGTACATCGTCCAGATATCTGAGTTTAGGTCGACCCCTTCTTCTTCTTCCGACCGACCTGTTTAGCATAGTTATTTTACTGGGATCACTCTCATCCATCCGCATAACGTGGCCCACCCACTTTAGGCGGTTTATTTTGATGGTCTTCACAATATCTGCATCACCAAAAAGTCTATAGAGTTCAAAGTTATATCGCCTTTTCCACAGACCCTGTTCGTTTACTCCGCCATATATGGTCCCCAATACTTTTCTTTCAAAGACTCATAGTAACTCTTCATCTCGGGTCGTCATTGCCCATGTTTCCGATCCGTATGTGAGCACTGGGCGTATTATTGTTTTATAAAGTTTGCACTTTGTTGCTATTGACATACTTCTCGCTTTTAGTTGAGGGCCCAGGCCGAAATAACAGCGGTTAGCCACGCATATTCTTTTTTTATTTCGTTTTATTCTCGTTTTTAATTCTTCTACCATTTCTATCGTTTCGTGTTGCACCTCTAAGTTATTTTGTTAAATTCTTGATATGGCTGGCATATATTTAGTTTTCTGGATGTTAATCAGAAGTCCGATGTTTTCTGCGGCATTTTTGATACATGTGAAATCCTCCACTGCATAATTTGATGTTCTTCCAATTATGACGATATCATCAGCGTATGCCATTATTTGTTATACTACGGGTATATATCGTACCTTTTAAGTTTATTCCCGAATCTCTCATAACTTTTTCTAACGCTAAAACATCCCCTTGTACGCCCACTTTACATTCGACTTTCATCATTGTCATTTTAATCAATTTTACTAAACCTTTTGGTATTCCTAATTCGATCATCGCCGAATATAATTGGGACCTGTCAATAGTATCGTACGGTGCTTTAAAGTCTACGAAGATATAATGGCAGTCTATGTCGTGCTCCGTCGTTTTTTCTAATATTTGTCTGATGGATGATATGTGATCAATGGTAGATTTGTTTTTCAAGAAGCCTCTTTGATAGGATCCTATTATATTGTCAGTATACCGTGCCGTGTATGCTGTATTAAGAAGGGAAATCCTTCTAAAGTTGGTACATTCAAGAACGTTTCCTTTTTTGTGTATGAGGCATATAATTCCAGTATTCCAATCTTCTGGTAACGCGCGTTCTTGCCATACCTGTATTAGTAGTTTGTGAAGGAGGGTTACAAATGTTTGACCGCCACATTTAAATATTTCTGCGAGTAGGTTGTCTGCTCCGGGTGACTTGTTTCTGGGTAGAGACTGAATTGCTTTGTTTATTTCTTCCAAAGTTGGTAGTTCAGTATCCTCGTGTTCTATTTCTATTTCGTATCTACCTTCAGCTCTACTTTCTCCATTAAGTAGTGTACTAAAATGTTCCTGCCATGTTTCTAGTACTTCCACTCTCTCGTTTAAAAGAATTCCGTTAAGGGCCTTGACTTGGTTCGCTTGTGGCTTGAAAACTTTTCTTTTTGTGTTAACGTGTTTGTAAAATTTTCTGTATTCGTGTTCTAAGAAGGCATCTAACCGGATAAAATTAAAGGATGTTACCCACTTATTGTACGCAAGAGAGATACCTTTAAGAATAATCAAAAGGATCGAAAATATCTGCCAACAGAATACAATAAAAGTAAAACTAGAAGAAGAACTAACTGAACATATTAAAGTTGGCAATATCACAATCACAAAACAAGAAGATTTCCTGATTCCTTTATTGTTTAAATTGATTGAGGATGAAATATTAAAAAAATAAGAACTAAAAAAGGATACCAAAGAAAACTTAAAATAATCTGCTATGCAGACGACGCAATACTTCTCTCTAAAAGTGAAGATAATTTACAGGTTATGCTCACCTAAGACATGGGTGTATGTTACCTAAAGTTAAATTTAATTTAATATTAAACATCAAATATAAGTAACAACATTATGTGCAATCTTTTCTAACTGTATGTATTTTAAAAGATTTTTACCCTAATATTTTGGTGGCTCAGGCGTGTTAACCTTAAGTATAACCATTTTTCCTTTTAACCCTAGTCAAAATTTTAAACCACGTTTGTTTGAACTAAATGGTTTATACTTATTTTTAGGCATTTTAAACCTGATGATGGAATTTTTATTCCGAAAACGTTCGTGTAATTTGATGTAGCCCTTTTAGGGGTTTTTTAAATATACCCATTTACAAAGACCTAACCTCTTTTTTTTTACTTGGTTATTAGTTATTAAGAAATAAATATTCATATATAAAGTAAATAGCAGTTACCTCCAACTGGACCTAACTGTTGGGCAAATGTAATGAGATTCTCAGCTCCTTTTTCAGTACTAGTATCACTAGTATTTACGATTACTATAATATTCTTATAATTTGACCACTTCCTAAAATGATAAGCTTGTAATCCGTTCAGTATATCTCTTCTGGAATTCAACACAATCCTAGTGGCTCCTTTTTGAATTAACCATTCAGTCAACTCCAATCCTAATCCACCTAAACCTCCTATTACAATATAGGATTGCTGAGGGTCGAGACATACTTTTGGAGTTGCGAGTATTGATCTTATAGGTGTACTTGCAGAATAGAGTTCCTCTTTACGAATTTCAATTAATACTTTTCCTTTGTGTTTACCAGACGCTAGAAATCTAAATGCCGACTCTACTTCATTCTCCTCAAACAACATACTTGGTAAAGGTTTTACAACGCCATCAGCGATACCTGAAATGATAAATAAATTAATATTTAAAGTTACTGGATGTAATGGTAGATGTAGATGAATATAGTTTACCTATCTAAGAACCTTTTTATCGCAACATTGATCAAATGAAGATTTTTAGTATATTTTTGGCTAACTTTGGAAAGCAATACAAACCTTTTGCTACGAGTTGTTGTACTTGACGTTGTGATCTACTATCAAAACTAAATAATTTGTCAAGATGAACTCCGTGGAAACATGTATTTTAAGAAACATACTAGTCGGTATTGGCGAGGAATTCATTAAATCGACCTTGCCAATTTCTATAAATCTTCCTCCTGGAGCTACACATCTTACTGATGCTTGAAACAAAGTGTCTGCCAACGAATTTAGTACTAAATCGACACCTCTTCCATTTGTGTTGTTATTGATCATTGTTTCAAAAGACGCATCCCGTGAATTCCTAAAATAGTATACATTTTTCATAGAGTATCAAAAGAAAGTTATAATATATATATATTTTTTCTTGCTGAAACAAACAATCTAAAGGAAATTATTCAATTAGCTCTTGATTAAAATATTAAATTAAATGTTGCTTTTTAGCAACTTTCGACCATGCTCAAGAAGAGTGTTACAACTCAAAATTCCCTGTTTTAGAGATATGCCGTAATCAACCGAAAAAGTGGTCTACTACTGAGAAAAATGATTATAACTGTAGTTCAATATTTGTATGAGAGATTGCGATATGCAACGTGGTAACACCAATGGTTTTAACAGATACCTGTGAATGAAAGTGTTACAATTCAGTCTGTAAACGAACGTTAATGTGGGATTATCGTCGCTGGTGAGAAGTAACATTATAGTTCGTTTTAAAACATTGTAATATTTGCAATATACTAACTTTAAATATATGAGAAGTTGTTTTCTATCATGGACCCAAATGTTATTTTACATTGATTTTTAATATGTGTTATAACTAAGCTCTTTTTATAATTTTTTTTTAAATGCTCGCAAAATTAACTGTCTCTATTATTTATTCAATTTATTTAATTAATAAATGAAAAACAACACTCCTGCTCTAATGAAAATTGACTGACCTTTCTTTCTCTGCCGTTGCAATTCTATGGCCATGCCAAAAAAAAATCCTTTCTCTGCTTCTGCTCCTATTGTGGTCCAGATGACGTACACCTTTCTCCTATCTGTCCTTGTATCTGCAACCCAACAACTCGTGTTATTCTATGCAGCCTCCTTTTGAGCCAATCTCCGCGCCTGTTTATAACTCCAAATGTTTCCAGCTTCGTCTGATATTAATATTCTTATACCCTTTGGTTTTTCTATCTCTCTGTACCCCGTTCCTCACACTGGTCAGCTTTTACACAGCAAATAAACACACCCGGTAAATTACGTCTTCGGGACTTCAAACAAATACAAATCACAAAGCTCCTTCCTTCTTGGACGACGGAAACTGACGAACTAACCTTTTTTTCTCTCTCCTATCTCATAGCCAAAACCACCACCTCCTTGCATTCAAAAATTGACCAATAAAAATCATCCACCTCTGTGACGTATATCGTTACCAACCAACTCTCTCTATAAAACGTCATTCGGGTAATTCCAGAAAACAACATTCTTTAATTATTCTAACTAAATCTATCTGCTTTACAAATATTTCTTACTAATAGCTACAAACGATACCTGTTTCTCAATTCAATGTCTTTTGTTAATAAACTTCTACCGATATAATCTTTCGGGGAGAAAAACCACCGCAAATCCCGGTCTATTGTTTAAAACACTTTCTATATACACTTTTATTCCGGGTAAATCCATTCCACAATAACCGACTTATTTAAATTTCTTATCGATAATATTTGAAAGTCTTGTCTCTGAGGCCTAATGAACAATTCTTCGAACAACTTAAAATACATATTTTGTCTTATACAGGATGTTTGAAAATTTATATGCCCGTGTCTTTATGAAATATCAATAATTTTAATTTTTATTTAAGTAATAAAATTTGTATATCGGTTTTTATTGCTTATGGACATTCAAAAGTACAACAATATATATATATATATATATATATATATATATATATATATATATATATATATATATATATAGATATATATATATATATATTATATATATATATATAATATATATATATATATATATATGAAATAAAACCGATTTTATATTTTAAAGGACATCAACAGTATCCAACATTTTGTTGCAAAAAATGTTTAAATAACTCTACTGGAAAATTACGTATTTTTGAGTTGTAACTCTGTTCTTCCACATGGTCGATACGTTTGTAATTTAAAAAAAATTAGTTTTTAGAAATTAAGGCTCCGCCAAATACCAAAACAAAACTTTTCAATGATACATTTAAACATACACCTAGAAGTTGGATACTATAAATATTTACATTTAAAATTTAAGACCGCCATGTTACCTATATTTTTATCTTTAATTGACGGGAAAATACTTTTCAAAAATTCCTTCTTTTCTTTCGTACTGACGGTAGTGTATACTTCACAACCCATGGACAATGCAATATTTATAGCGGCTAATCCAATTCCTCCCGTTCCAGCATGTATTAGGATAGATTCCCCAGGCTGCATTTGCGCTCTTATAATTAAACCATAGTAACACTGTAAAATTATTGAATTAGCATATATTTCAACAAAATAACTGTACGCAATATTAAAGGTTTTTACCTTTAACCCTTTTTTTTCATGATCCTTGAGATCAAAAACTCAAAGATACGTATGTAGTTTACTTACTGTTGCATAAACACAAGGGATAGTACACGCGTCACGTAAGGTCCATTCGTTAGGTATTTCCCAAGTAAAGTATGGATCACATTGAACTTGCAATGCTAACCCGTCACCATTAACAAAACCCATTATTCGTTTACCACTAGCCGTTACTCCAGAAAATTCCAATCCTATGCCAGAACTTTTGGTGGGAACAATATCATTACAATCTATGGGAATCTTACCAAGAGCAATCATCACATCTTTAAAGTTGAGGGCTGAGTAATATACATAAACTAATTCAGATTCTTCACTTATCCTAAAAGAAGGAATAGGTCGTGAGCCATAAAATAGAAAATACAATTAGCTTGAGGTTAGTCCTGAAATGTCATTGGAAAAAGTGGCAATTGTAAACTTTTATGCTGTTTTTAAATGAGAAATCTCAGGGCCGATCCTAGGCCGTGTTTGAAAAAGAAAACTCTGTTGAGAGACCCAGTACTTGTATTACTGCAATATCTGCACAAGTTCCTCTTACAAAGGCTAGAACTATAAGAAAGATATAGTTAAAAGGCAAAAGCAGGAGAGTAAGAGGAGAAAGAAAGATTTTGAGGAATCAAGGCATGGAATACAGAAGAAGCAAAAGAAAACCAGTAAAGTCAGTAAAACTAGAAAGTCAAAAAATTTAAATTTGTGTAGGAACAAGTGTGTTAAAAAGGTTTTGTACAATTTCTGTAAAAACGTCTTCGCAGAATATTGAAAAATAATGCCTTCCTCAACCTGCTTTCATATATTTTACCAGTATTTCATTAATTCTATAAAGACTTAATAACCTTAAATAAAGCAGAGAATACCTACCGTGATAACATTACTGACGAAGAAAATGCAGAGATAGTAATTAAAGATAAAAATGACAGCTGCCCAAGAAAACAACACAAATAAATAAACTAGTAGTAAAAAGGGAAAAATGTAAATACCAAACAATAAAACTTCAAAAAAATATTGATTCGTTTTTCATATCAGTTTGTAACGAATATATTTTGCCTACTTAAGGGTAAGAACATGAGTGTAGAGATAGGGCAAGCAAAATAATCGCTACTTCTGCGAACGGCACTCAGGGTTTGTTAGGAGAGCTGGGGTCGTGGATAAGTCAAAGATAAGGGGGGTGGAATGGGGCAACTACAAAAATATGAAACCAAAGGTCATGAATCTCTTGGAACAAACAAAGCAAAAAGGAACAGGAAACACCTCTAGTAATTTAATATAGGGCGCCAGTTTGAGGTGCCTAATTATACTTATTGCAACTACTAGTTGTAACTAGGGAAATAATTTCTTTGCTCATTAATTAAATCGTCATTAATTTCCTCATAAATTAATAAATAGAGAATTACTTCCCTCATTAATTTATCGCTACTATCTGTCCTACTAATCTTACCCTAATCTAATAGGTTACAACAAAAATAATAATAGAAAGAATCAATTATATCAGCAGCTGTTAATGTTTTAAAATGTGCTGGTAACGCAAAAAAACCTCATTGCAGTTTTATAGTACCTTAGGAAGAACATCAAACGTTTAGATTTAGTACCCCACTGCCAAAGCACACAAAAAGCATAAATTTGAGGTTAGTTTTGCATCGTTTTAAGTAGGTACTTAGTTAGTTTTATTAGTAAAACAGTAAGTAGTCTCTATCTATCTAATTAGCCATCTTCGGTCCATCTTTGGACATAGGCCTCCCCAATCCTTTTCCATTCTTCTCTGTCTATCGCAACAGTCATCCATCTAGAGCCCACGTGCTTCTTGATATCATCTGCCCATCTCATTTGGGGCCTTCCTCTGCTTCGTTTATATTCCCACGGTCTCCAACTTATAAGAATTTTGTTCCATCGGTCTTCTTTTTGTCTTATATTGTGTCCGGCAAATCTCCATTTCAATTTTGCAACTTCTTGTCTAACATCCCTTACTTTTGTTTTCTCTCTTATCCACTCGTTTCTCTTCTTATCCATTAGTCTTATGTGCAACATTTGTCTTTCCATTGCTCTTTGGGTTTTTATGATTTTGTCCATGTTTGCTTTTGTAAATGTCCACGTTTGGGAGCCATATGTAAGAACAGGGAGTACGCATTGATTATATACTTTGGTCTTAAGATGCTGTGGATATCTTTTGTTTTTAAGAATGTAGCTTAGTTTGCCAAATACCGCCCATGCCAGTCTAACTCGTCTCTTGATCTCTGCTGTTTGGTTCTCTTTGTTAAGTTTTATAGTTTGACCAAGATATATATAATCCTTAACTTGTTCTATTTCATCTTGTCCGATTCTCATTGTGATGTCTTCATCTGTATTTGTTATAGTTTTGGTCTTGCTGTAATTTATATTAAGGCCTATCTTTCCAGCTTCTACGTCCAGTTCTTTCATCATTTCAAATAATTCATCTTTTTTATCGATTATCAATAGGATGTCATCAGCGTACCTTAGATGGTTCAAGCGTTGTCCACAAATTTTTATTCCTTTTTTTTTCCATTCTAATCTTTTAAAAGTATCTTCAAGAGCCTGATTGAAAAGTTTCGGTGATATCGTATCACCCTGTCTCACGCCTCTACTTATTTGTAATGATTTTGTTCCTTCATATACTTTAATTTTTGTTTTGGCTTCCTTATATATATTGGTTATTAGTTCCGTATATCTGTGGTCAATTCGGCTGTTAATCAAAGAACTTTTCACTGCCCAATGTTCGACACTGTCGAAAGCCTTTTCGAAATCTATGAACGCCATATATAGAGGAATGTGGTATTCATTTGCTCGTTCTATAAGTATTTTCATACTTAGTAAATGGTCACTTGTGCTGAATCCCTTTCTAAAACCAGCTTGTTCTTTCGACTGGTATCCATCGAATTTTGTCGTCAATCTATTGGTTAAAATTTTTGTTAGGAGTTTATACATTACATTGAGGAGTGTTATAGGACGGTAGTTTTTTATATCTGCTTTATCCCCTTTCTTGTGTAGGATAATTATATTTATTATAACACCGATTTTAATGTGAAAATACGTAGATTTTACAAGCTTTTAATTATTTTAACACAGTTTTTCACTACGATAACACATTTCTTGCGTCGTGCACGTATGTATGAAGAACTGTCAAATACGTTATGTCTTATTTCAAACACATAATGGTCTTCCTATAACGACTGTAACACATAAAGGATAAGCAAGTGCAAGTTCTAGGTCAAATTTCACAAAACAGATAATACCAATCAACAGAGCAGCAAAAATGTAATCGAACTGCTAAATAAAAAAAATTGCAAAAATGCACATACCGGATTTGGCACCTCTCATGACGATATAACCAAATAATAAATATTAGTTTTTGGTGAGAAAAAAAATGTGGGATCGAAAGGGTTAAAACTGCGTAGGAAACATAACTCAATCAGTTACAGTAGATTAATAGGAGATGATATCGAAAAGATTTTACAAACGAAATTATTTTGTTATGACACCAGATAAACTTATATGGACAAACATAATTAGAAAACTAGATTTATATGTTTTAGATGTAAATGTAATTGTAAACTTACCTCCTGCCCTCGAAGTGCATCTCAGTCCATTCTAATGTTGACAAATCACCGAGGGTGTTTATACTCACAGTAGCATTTCCAACATTTTGCTTATTTAAATCTTTTAAAGGTAAATGTACATAAGTAGCCCAGTTGTTGTTTTGTAAAACATTAAAGGTAAGATCTTTTTTAAGTTGATTTTTATAGAAAGGATCGTCTACGGCAAACTTACTCGCATGTTGATCAATTAAAAACGCACGGAATCTTAATTTAGTAGTTTCAGTTAATAAACATTTGGTTAAGCCTATTATTCCGCTAAAATCTTCGTTTTCACTGACTAAGTATACTGTTTTTTCTTCGTCAGTTTTACCTAAATTCTTTAGATTTTCCAACCAATCCAAGTTTGTGTTGCTTATATTTAATACAGCGTAATTTTTTGATAATGCAGAGGTTGGCTTTAAAAGATACATTTTGTCATTACCAAAAATTGACTCAAAAATTACTTCCAAGGATGATTGCTTAGCATTTTTGTAGGTACCCTTAAATATAATAAAACCATTTTCTGTCAGATTATGTACAACTTTATTTAAATCTTCGAGCTTTACTTCTTTTTCATTGACAATAATGGCTTGAAATTTGTTTTTTAAATTTTCTAAGCGACTACTGAAGTACTCGATTCTACTTAGTACTTGTTTAGCCATAATATTTTTAATACAAGGATCTATTTCTGCATTACCTTGAGTTGTTATAATTTCACAAATCTTTATCTGCTTTACCGTGCCTGTGTTATTCTGCAAGATTATTTGCATCGCTATTGACATGGCAGTTTCTAAGTCATACTCGTTTCTATCAGTTCTGCTGTAATTAACTAGACTGTAACTTTCACAATACGGGGGTTCTTGCGTGTGTTGACGACGTGGTGCTTTGGAATATTCTGTTCCAATAATTTCTATGCCTCCGGATTTTATTAGACTTTGACAAGGGTTAAAAGTTATGAGTAGCTCTAAAAATAAACATTATTGTTAAATTTACTGATTAAAAGTAATAATTAATTAATATTAATATAACATTAATATAATTAACTAAGCAAATCATGAATGTGTTGCTTGTGTGAGTCCATTTCAAATAGGTAAAGAAATAATAAATAAGACTTACTCACAATCAATTTAATTTAACTATCAGACGACCGGTTTCGCTTTCTACAATATGCAAAGCATACTCAGGTCTCGATACAAAGTTAAACAAATGATGCCGGTACTCTATTAATGGATGGATGGTAGAACATGTTTGAAACTACTTTATATTGTTGAATGGAGAACTCAATACTATTATTGCAGTTGTTTGACAGTAAACGGGAAGTTCTTGAGGAGATAGATTTGATCCAATGAATTTGAGATATGTGTGAGATTGTTTGTTAGATGTAAGTGATGTAATATACTATTGTGTTATTAAAGGTTATTTATACTTCTCCAGAGATATATTTTTGAAATGTGTGTTATTTATTGAGTAATTGTTTTATGAAGGTGACAGTTTTATGACAATGAATAAGTGTAGATGTAAAAATTGTGTGGGTGTGCAATTATTTTCCAACTTGTAGTTATCAAGTTACTTTGATAAAGTTCTATTGGCAATGAGTTAATTATTGGAATAGTCAAGTAAATAAAATGGTAAAATACAAACAATTAAGGATAATTTAAACACACTAAAACAGAAAACACTTAGAAGGGACGAAACAAACATTGAATTTAAAAGGGGGAAGGACTTTAATGCACTACATCATAGTCTTGGGCACATTGTGCATTAAAGTCCTTCCCCCTTTTAAATTCAATGTTTGTTTCGTCCCTTCTAAGTGTCTTCTGTTTTAGTGTGTTTAAATTATCCTTAATTGTTTGTATTTTACCATTTTATTTACTTGACTATTCCAATAATTAACTCATTGCCAATAGAACTTTATCAAAGTAATTTGATAACTACAAGTTGGAAAATAATTGCACACCCACACAATTTTTACATCTACACTTATTCATTGTCATAAAACTGTCACCTTCATAAAACAATTACTCAATAAATAACACACATTTCAAAAATATATCTCTGAATAAGTATAAATAGCCTTTAATAACACAATAGTATATTACATCACTTACATCTAACAAACAATCTCACACATATCTCAAATTCATTGGATCAAATCTATCTCCTCAAGAACTTCCCGTTTACTGTCAAACAACTGCAATAATAGTATTGAGTTCTTTAAACAATATAAAGTAGTTTCAAACATGTTCTACCATCCATCTATTAATAGAGTACCGGCATCATTTGTTTAACTTTGTATCGAGACCTGAGGATGCTTTGCATATTGTAGAAAGCGAAACCGGTCGTCTGATAGTTAAATTAAATTGATTGTGAGTAAGTCTTATTTATTATTTCTTTACCTAATTAACTAAGCATTCAATTGCGTCATTGTATTATTATAACATTAGTATTGCGTCGTCTGCATAGCAAATTATATTAAGTTGGTTTTCTCCCATTTGGTAGTCTTTTTTCGTTCTTCGTTTTCTATATCTGATATATTAAAAAATACTTACAAATTTTATATAATATTTACTTAATAATCCCTCTAAAAATATTTTGTGTGCTAAAATAATTCTCTTGTATCGCATCAGATTCTCTTGAATACCGTCTATCTCCTGTCAGATTCTAACCAATTCTTCAGGGTTCTGGGTTCTTTACGAGAAGATATTCTATATTCTACAAAAAAACCTCCACCGATGACCCAAATACAAAACACTCAGCAAATCAGATTGACAGTGTGTCAATTGTATCAAACACTACAAGCTGTTTAAAAAGACATATAACTCATGAGCGCAATAAACCGAAAACGGTAATTTGTTCGGTAGTTGATTGCAAGTAGATAGCAAAAATAAACGATGCTAGCCTTAGTTATCGTCGAATGGTACACAAAATAAGTCTTTAAAGAAATCTGAAGGTCACTGTATATAGAAAACTATAATTTTTCATATAGTTGAAATAATATGGTCACGCCAAAAGGATGGATGACCAACGAAAGCCATAGTGAACGTTACAATGAGTCCTTTGCCAACCAACTGCAGAATAAGGGGAATACCAGAAAATCGCGAAGACAAGAAGTACACAGTGGATGAAAGAGCAGTTTTGTTCTTCTCCATTAAGCGATTCATTCCACTAGACGAGAAATAGATGCCGCAAATATCAATATTTATAATATCTCGTCACCTATTTATTCTTTTAATGTAGGACCTATAATGTGGGACAGTTTTAAGCGTATCAATACACAGACAGCTCTAAACACTTTCGAATTTAAGACTGAAACTCAGAAGTCCAAATTAGCGCATCTAATTGCCAAAGAAATTCCAAAAACCACAAAGTTGAAACTCACTACAGTACTTCATATCTTTTCTGATACTTGACCAATGCCGCTCAAGCTTTAGCGAAAAGTTTCAATTACTCTGTCACTCCAATTCACATTCCAATTGAGACTGTTCAAATTATCTCTCAATTTGAAGAAGCCTTATCAAGTTGAGCTTCCGAAGATGCTATAATAACTATAAAAAACATCGCTAGAGTTCTTAAAAACTCAATGTCACCTACTTTGGAACTTCAGTCAAACCAACATCTAGTCATTCTTTCCACCGATAAAGGCTCTCTTAAATCTAATTAATACTTCAGACTATAGAATAATTTCTAATAATCCAACAAACTATCTGGAGAAAACAACAAAAGCCATTATATGGCCTGCTTAAAATTCACAAACCCGATATTCCTCTCCGTTCCACTGTCAGTGCATACAACTACCCTACAAAACTATAGGCCATTACTTGGCCAAAACTGTACAACTTCTCGCCAGAAATGTTTAATCCTTCGTCGAAAATTCTTTTCAATTTATCGAAGTTTTTAAAGAATACCCTACCTCACGGTCAAACATTCTAGTAAGTTTAAATATTGTCTCACTCTTTACAAACATTTCTACAGGCGAAACTCTAAACATTCTAACTAAATACAGTATCCAGCAAAACTACTTATCTCTCATTAAACATTGTATGTCCAACACTTATTTCATCTTTTAAAATCAATTCTACATACAAATAAATGGTGGCTTAAGGGGTTTCCCACTATCTTAGGTAATTGTCAATATCTTTATTAAAAACTTAGATACCCGAGCACTATCCACATCAATGCTCAAACCCACATATTGATAACGATATATTGACGATACATTCGTCATATGTCCCCACGGCTGGGATGCATTGGTGTCGTTTCAAACGCATCTGAGTGGTATCCATCCTGGTATGCACTTGACGATGAAGGTGGAAACTGATTTAATCCTACCGTTTCTCAACTTTATCATAAAGAAGAACCAATCCCAAGGCTTCATCACTCTGTTTATCGAAAACCCACCCATACCAATCGTTATTTGCATGCCAACTCTCATCATTCCCTTTCACAAATTAATTTAATCATTAATACGCTTGTCTCCAGATCAACACGCCTTTGCGATGAGGCAAGTAGATCCGATGAGCTCTCTGGTTTAAAATAAGAACTCTTTCAAAACAGTTAATGAGAAAATCACATCAATATACTATAGACATCAAAGACTCAGACCCTCATCATACGAAATTTTTTTCTTCCTTGCATTAAAGTGATATTGACAATATGGACAAAATTCTTAAATCAAGAGAAATGAAGACAATATTTACCCCCCAACAAAAACTTTCATCTTTCAGGCCAAACAAATTGTAGAATCCAAAATATATTAGACCAATATAATAGGATTTATGAACATCCCATTTTTTGTTCGGAATTCCGACTCAATTTTAGCCCTTTATCAACTTTATCTTCATACAGGTGACACATTTGATTTTGAAAACTCCAGAACCATAGCCCCCATCCGCTTCTTCCAATAATAACAATAATAACAACATACGGTTTAGCCTTCTTAGCCTCCAGACACTGAACTCTAATCAATACATGGTGATCAGCGGTGTTCAGAGATGATCAGATTGGTGCTACTGGGAACAGCGGTCAGTTCATCTACACCGTCGATGGTAACGTGGTTTGGGTAAACGTTGCCTTGAGGGTTGGCATAGGGATTGGCGCGTAGGTTGGCGCGAACATTTTTGATGGCAGGATTTTGATTAGAGGGTGGAGCGAACAATATTTTCTTTGTGAGATGTCTCCATATCGAAGATAGAACATGATGTTGACCTAGGGGTAAAATTAAAAAATTGAATCGAAATTGCGAACAGAAATGGTGTGTTCATAAATGTTACTTTGAATTCTGATTTGTTTGGCCTATATAAGATTGGGGGCAGTCTGTACAAGGAATTTCATTAATTCCATGTTGTTCATTTGAAATTTTGTAGTTGATTAATCGCAAATGATATGAAAGTTTTTGTTGGGAGGTAAATATTGTCTTTATTCCTCTTGACTTCAGAATTTAGACTCGACTAGAATGGATAGATGGTCAACTAGAAATACACTATGATATACAAGAGGTATCAACAGACCAAGACGACGTTCAAACTTGAGATGGGATGATACTATAAAGAAACAGGCAATTATAACATGTTATAGAGAAGCGAATATTATACATTGTGATCAGCGGTGTTTAGAGATGATCAGATTGGTGCTACTGGGAACAGCGGACAGTTCCTACACCGTCGACGAGAAAACTGTAAGTAAAAAATATATTTACTAATTTATATTACCTTTCTTATTCTTCTCGACCATTTGCAAATGTTTTATGGGATCTACAGTTATCTGTCGAATACTAGTTGGAAGAAGGGATTCTCTCGAATATATTCCAATTATAGTTATGTGCAGCATCGTATCAAAAAAGCTGGCAAACTTTCCTTTCCACTGAAGTTTGCCGTTGCGACCATTTAAATCACATTCACTTAATCCTCTAAAATAGTTCTTATACATGTATCTTCTTAGCTGACACTCTTGATATATCTCATGTTCTTGTAAAGTGATTTCTTTACTATTGGATACTTTTGAAACGTCATTTTCTTTAAATTCTGATGATACGTCTTTGGGAATTCGTACATATCCTGTACAAACCACAGCTCCACTTTCGAAAATTTCAAAATATCCTGATTGTTTCATTATAGTTATAGTGAATGTTACTCCTTCTCCATGTGTTACAATGGTTGCTCGTTTAAATTTAATATTTTCCATTACAATCGGTAATTCCTCTTTATTTTTCAAGTTAAAGTCCGCAACGATGTTCCAGATTAAATCCTATAAATAAAAATATATATATATATATATATATATATATATATATATATATATATATAGAAAGTAAACCGCAAAATACAAAATTAGAAATATAAAGCAAAAAGCTAATATATGTTTGGTATGTAGTGACGGATCTAATAAATAAACGGTGTTTTTTCTGTCTTTGATTATTAGGTCTGCCGTAAATTTTGGCAAATGTTCTGTAATGAACTGTTTCACCTGTACTTGTCCTGGTGAATTCCTACACCATTCCAGGTATTTGTGAGCTACCCACTTCATTGTAGTTGTTCTTGTTACTGACTTTGCAATGCTGCAGAAGGGTTCCGGTCCAATGAATGGCATTGATGATCCTTGTTTGAGTATTTCATCTGCTTTTTTATTGCCCTTATGACCCTCGTACCCCGGTACCCATGCTACCGTAATCTTGCTACAGTCTTCTAGTTTGTTTAGGGCACACATGCAATACCATACTAGCTTAGAATTGACTTCGACAGAATTGAGTGTCTTATGCGTTGCCTGACTATCTGTTAAGATGGTATCTAAACAAAACATTCTCTCCTGCCTTTCTAATTCTTCCACGTAGTGATAAATTGTAGTTATTTCTCCCAGGAAAACTGTCACATCCTGAGATAGACTTACCGGAAAATGTATCCCTTGATTTGTTCTTACTATACCGGCTCCCATACCCTCCGATGTTTTTAAGCCATCCGTGTACCAGGTAGCAGCAGCTTGTATGGCTGCACCTTTATTCCAGTCTTCCCTACCTGGTATCTTAAATATAAACTTATTGTTAAAGCTATATCTCGTAGCTGTTGCATCGTTAGGTTTCCCCATCAAAATATTGGCTGTTATTTCTTCGATTAGATTTCTTTTGTCAGTACCATGCATCTGGCTTATATGTCGCTGACTATGGATTAATCTGTGCTTCGCTGATCTGGCTTCGCCCTGTATAAAGATATAAAGTGGTAATAGATTTAACAGAACTTCCAACAATGCCGTAGGAGTTGTTTTTATGGCCTACATAATACACAGGAGGCCTTTGTGTATTATCTAGCAGCCTTATTGTTCTCCAGTGGATGCCTTAGTCTGTGGACCAATGAGCACGTCGATTGAGCACGTTGAATAGGTCTTGATCAGGTCTTAAACAGCTTTGACCAGAAAGGATCTCCTTCAAAAGTGATAGGACCTTCAAAAATAACCAGAATAGACCTTAGAATTTCTTATGGAGATTTACATGGGAAAATGACCTGTTTTGCGCTCGTAGCCGTGCTGCCTTTTTACTTTAACCCATCACATTGGGACAGAAATGCGGAGATTATTTCGATTGAGCTGATCGAAGCCCTTTGCAGAGAACCTAGGAAGCAGATATGGGTTACTTCTTGCCAAGATCCCAACCTTTCCACGGTAACGATAAAATCTCCTATGTTTTGGTAGGAATTGTGATTTTATTTTTTTTTTTACTTCTAGATGATTTCGTCTGATCTGGTTCTCCACCACTGGATATTTCATGTATTTATATTCAAACTCCTTGTCCGTTTGCCATATCATCTTAGGCTAGATTTTAAAATTTTTTGCAGTGGGTTTATTTACAGATGTAGTGGAGTAGGTATTAATACCCTTGAAGCTATTTAATTTAAAAACAATTGATTTCTGACTGGAACGTTTTAGCCAAGTTAACTGAATCCACTTTTATATAAGAAAAGTGTTGGGGTCTTTAACTGTTAGATGCATACATATTTTACGTTTAATATAATATTACTTACAATATATCCAGTTGCAGGCATTAAAATTCTTCCATCTATTTGATGGCCCTCAATATAAGCATATTCTTCATCTGATAGGCTAACATTTACTGATATACCACAAGAGCTTTTGTGTTCATATCTTTTACTGAACCATGATACACTATGGTCCCACTTTACGAGAGATGACAGCATTTTTGTTCCACGACTGACGGGAAAGCTAACTTCGTTATATAATTTTCTCAGATTTGGTTGTCCACCAGCAAGATAGAATCTAAAATTTTATGAATAAAAGATTTTTTTGGGTTAATGGAAACGTTTTAATTGTGCACTTTTCATATTTTAATGAGTATCAAATTTTATAAGTATTAATATATTATATTTAAGGTTAATTGACATTTATTTACTTTATTAAAAGTTGATTTAAATTAATTACTTTCTTTAATTTACAAATATACGTTTTTTTTCTTATAGGGGTAGTTTTCACCTCGGAAAAATAAAATGCAACTAACTGCACAATTCGGAAATTGAAGAGAAGTGTAATTACAACCCACAGTACATTCAATCCATTTACATCTCTAAACAATGAATGGAATTCACAGAAAACCTTCTGTTGTAGTAAAAGGCATGGTAATTTTAAACAAAAGGCAACAAAAATTTGTATAAAATGATGAGCAAAAATTTAAATGAAATTTTAAATATTTTTTTTATTTGGCTAATAATGAATGTATAAATATAATGGTTAACCTGCTGTACAATTATTTGTAAATAACATTATAATAATGTAGTTATTGATTATTTAAATTTATAAATCATCATCATCACCACAAAATTCACTACCGCTATCACTATGTAAATCTTTAATCACTGGATTAATTTTTCCAGTGAGGGGTAAGGGGTAGCGGGTAGGAAATCCTTTATGGATAGTCCTATTAGGGAAAGTGAATCAATCCCTGCCTTCCGCAGATTCCAGGTGTTTCCTGATCTGGGAAACTAGTACCTGCTAAGGGTCGCTTGTCCAGGGTCACGGATGAAGTCCACAACGGCATCCAGGGCGGAGAAGAAGGTCTTCACAACGGTTTGGAGGACGGAAGTGGCAGCCTCCTGGTTTTAGGGCTTGTTTAAAATCGAAGGGTAGGTGAGACTCTCTAGCTGTAGTGAAAGCAACTCGCATAGGAGAAGAATACTCTGATGTAAAATCCCTGGCCCTCCAGGTGGGGGGTTGAGGCACCGGGCCAACTCCTCGGTACTCATAAAACACGTACAATATTAATAAGCCTAACCAAAGCCTCGGAACAAAAGATTGGAAACACAGTAGACGAAAACAGCAAAGAAATCGGTTAATGAATTTTTGTACATGGAATGTACAAGGTATCTCCCGAAAAACACCAGAAATCAAGTCAGAACTCAAAAATGCAGATATAGATATCGCGGTACTTACAGAAACTAAAAAGAAAGGTATGGGTTCTGAAAAGTGGGGTCACTATGACCTGTTCTATAGTGGAGTAACTAAAGACCAAAGAGCACAACAAGGAAGGAGGAGACGTACTACAAAAAACAATACATGAATTAATAACAAAGATATGGTCGAGTAAACAGCTACCAGCGGAGTGTAATAGCGATATTATTGTACCATTACATAAAAAAGGAAATCAGTTAGAATGTGGAAACTACCGTGGAATCACGTTGCTGAATGCAGCATACAAAATATTGTCCAACGTCATTTATGAAAGACTTAGACCACACGCTGAAAAAATAGTTGGCAAATACCAAAGTGGCTTCTGTAAACAGAAGTCAACAATAGACCAGAAATTTGTTCTGCGGCAGATCCTTGAAAAAACAAGCGAATATAACATCGACACACGTCGTCTATTCATAGACTTTGAAAGCGCATATGACAATATAAACCGAGAATTCAGAAACGGAAACAATAGATGTGAAAAAAAGACTACGCCAGAGAGACGCTCTATCATGCATCTTGTACAACATCGTACTTGAGAAAATACTGAGGGACACAACAGCTAATACTTGAATAACAATCATTAATAAAATCGTGCAAATACTAGCATTTGCAGATGATGTTGACATAATCTCAAGATCAAGAAGAGAAATGATAGAGGCAAATAGAACGAGCTGCACAAAATAGGGTCTTAAAATAAATCAGACCAAAACAAAATATATGCAGGTACAACATTGAGGGGGTAAAAAATTTTATATAACTTGGGATCCCTAATAACGTCTGATACTAACGTTGCGGAGGAAGTGAAGAGGCGAATATTTATTGCCAATAAGTGTTACTATGGATTAATTAGGCAACTAAGATCAGGTACCGTCGCAAGAAAAACAAAATGCCAAATATACAAAACCTTAATAAGTCACATACGGCTTAGAAACCTGGTCTCACTAAAAAAGAGGAAACGTTGTTAGCAACCTTCAAAAGAAAAATCTTGCGGTACATATATAAGGGTACAAAAGAAAACGGAATATGAGGAAGAAGATACAACTTTGAACTATACAAAATATTCCAGGATCCGGATATTATAACGTTCATTAAAATAAAACGGCTGCGTTGGATGAGACATGTAGAAATAATGGAAGAAGGCGAAATATCAAACAAAATATTCAAACAGATGGAACTAGAAAAAAGAACAAGAGGAAGACCGAAGCTGGGATACTTAGAACAAATGGAAAATCATATATGACCTTAAAAATAAAAAAAACTGGAGAAAAAAAGCACGAAACAGATCAGAATGGAGAAGAATTCTGGAACAGGCTAGGACCCAAAAAGGGTTGTCGAGCCAGTGATGATGATGAAAGTCTCTAAACTGAAATGTTGATTATTTTCACGCATTCGATAGAAAATATTGCGAATTTCAAATTCTTCACCATTAGGTAAGTCAATGCTCCTAGAATAATTACGAGTTGTTTTCTTGTCTTCGTGATACTCAGTCACAGTAAGATCTTCCTGAGAATCTCTGACAGTCTTCATTACAGTTTTTAGCTTACTTTCACTTATCCCGAGTGCGTTACAAATGAGTTGATTTATACATAATAATAAATTTAAAGCTTCACCATTGTCACTTTCCATGATAAAGTATTTATGCACAATTACAATTAATTCATCAATATCGAACTTACGTGTAGGCATGATGGTCACTTGTAACTATACGTTTGAATTACAATATAATGAGTTTAGATCAACATCACAGAAACTTTCTAACTGTTGTGCTTGAGAGGTGAAATATATTATAACTACTTACAAAGATCCTAAATACATTAAGCAGATTAGCGTAATGATCATTGGCAATGCCGATTGTAATTTAAATATGTTTGATAAAAACATTAAAAATGGTTGGAAACCGTACAATTTGTTTAAAATCAAGAAGCAAGACGAAGAAGAAGCAAATAACATAAATATGTTAAAATTCCAGACTGTTTTAATTAGAAACACTTTTTATTAACATTAAACCTTTAAAATGAAATTTAAAAATTTAATGCAGATATTGAAGTTAATTTAAAAGCAAGATATGTGATAAAAAGTAAAAGTTTGTAAATGTTTTATAAAAATAAAAAACACATACTTCCCTATGGCTGACAGGAAAAATTTTTCATTATCGTCACTCGACCTATTGGTAATAGATATTTGAGTAGCTTCTGGTCCCATTTCTCGTTTTAATATTGCTTGCAATAAACCATGCGGAGAAACTTCTATAACAATTGCATTTTCAGGTATATGACTAAAAACTTGATCGAACAACACTGTGTTACAAAAGTTATTGTGATGGTATTCAGCGCAATTTAATTGTGCCCATTTTTCGTGCTTTTTGGACTCAGGGACAGAACTTGATATCCACTTCTCACTTCGTGGTTTAGGATCAGGTAAAACTAGTTTACAAAAGTCTAATAATAACTCTCCAGCTTCTTTCACGTATTTCGTATGATACGGAATTCCTCCTGAATTTACCAATTTTGCAAATATTCCTTGCGCTGACAATTGTTCAACAAAAGCTTTAGTTTTTTCCAGGGGCCCTGATATAGTTACACTTTCTTTAGCATTTTGACAAGCAATAAAAATACCCTCTGGAAGCATCTTGGAGACTTTTTCTTTACTTAATCCAATAGCTGCCATTTGACCTGGGATTATAGAACTATTGGATGCAGCGTATCCTCTTGCGTAACCTAATAAAGCTGCCTGTTCGACAGAAATCTGGCCGTCAGCATAACTGCAACCTAAGCAAAATACATATTATCAAATTTTCTATATTAAATATAATAAGATACTAATGCCATATTAATATATATATATATATATATATATATATATATAATATATATATATATATATATATATATATATATATATATCCGGTTTTTTAGGCGTTACGCCCGTCCGGTAGGGAGATATGGAGGAGTATCACCGAGCCGCAAGCCCCTATCTCTTGCCGTACTGCTCCACCATAGGCCGATCAGATCCCAGCATATCCTAGTCTAAGCCGCAGATTCATCTAGAATTTTAAACTGCTGTGTTAGACTTTTTGTTTTCTGTACACCGAGCTGGGGCTTGATCCCACATCCACTAAACCATTCGACAGTGAAGCGAATGAGAGGCAGCCGCACAGCCCGCTGAGCTATGTGACCGACATGCCATATTAATATAAGGTATATTAGATAAAAAAACATAACAGCGCTGATTGTAATTTAAAATTTTTTAAACGATTAGGTTTATATCATCAAAAGAGATAAATCAAACAATAAACTAAAGTTAATATGGTCAAATAAAACATTTTATAACCAAGTCTCTAACAAGAAAAATAAAGGTAAAATTGAATGATATACAGAACAATAATACTGTTACATTTACTTTAAATTTGTTCTATCTAGTAAATATCCCTTAACGAAAAAGATGAAGTATCAAAAATCTAGAATATTCGAGATATCATAAAAAAATTCCAAAATATTTCGTAATGTCTGAAATTTAAAAAATGTATGTAAACACAAGTTAAAAGTTCGAGTAACAGTAGTTTTTCAATAGTTGACATTCGCTTAAAGTTGTATAACAGGTATTGTAATATTGTTGCTGTTTGTGTTTTTGAATGTTAGTACCTTGTTTAAGCTTTGTCAAGGAGGGGTTGCTTTCAACTTTTTATTCGAGGGACGAAGGGGTAACTTCAAAGATATAAATAAAAAAACTACTTACATAAATCTCCTGGGCAACAAATACAAGAAGGTTCCTAAACTATTTGAATTGGACGCCGTTTTAAAGAATACCCTTGCTGATAGAAAGAAGGCTTTCCTTTCCTTATATCACTCTGGCTGGTATTTCTTTTAAAAAAGTTTTTGGTATTGGAATTGACTAAAAAAACACTGTCCCACAAAAACTGTAAGTGGTCTTGGGTGACCATGGAACACAAAATGGAGAATTCCTGGGAAATGGAACAGTGTCTCAGGCTTCGGATGGACCTTGATGACAACAAACTGCACTCTTCAAAACTCAGCCACTCCAACGCTTCTGTTTAATACCATGTGGACCTCTTAGATTATTGTATTGTTGCTTATAAACTCCTCACATGGGACACAGAACAATAAAGCGGCGATTGGGTGATTAATTAACTTATCAAAGACTGCCAAATAGCACCTTGATCTCAAATTCACCTCTCCACAAAAAATTGCTAGCTTTAAAGATCTACACGCCCTAAGCTATTTCTTCCCAATATAAATCTTAACCATTTTCTAACTCTAAAATGCTACTACTACTTCACACTTGAGTTTCCGACAACCAAAACGAATAACAAAAATCAGTAACAAATTTGAAGAAAATTCGGACTTACCAATGAAACCGACTCCTATCGTGGTCTATAGTAGAGTGATTTCATCATTCTCAAAAATCTTTCTCCTCCCTGCATACTTTTCCCATAAAATTAAGTGGATATTTATTCGACGAGCAGTATTAATCGGAATCAAGATTAAATAAATACCAAAGAAATACCAATCTATGTTTTATAAACAAAACTAAAAATGTTTATATTATCGATCTCAGTGACGAAAAAAGATTGAGAATATTTTTCAGTGTTTTAACACATACAAGGTAATTTGAAATCCTACAAGAACAGAACTAGATAATCAAACACGCGAAACTAAATGAAAAATTAAATTAGAATGGGTGCTTTGAAAGGTATAAAAACCTTGGGAAATACTTAGAGTACCTCTTTAAACAATGGAATGCTAGATGTTGAGATTAACGTTAATACAAGAAAATTCTAAATGCCAGTAAAAAAGCCAAGATAAAAATTACCAATGCTTTGGAAATAACAGCACGTATGAAGTTGAGCTGAGTCTGATATGTTGCGAAAATGAATGAAGCTAGATAGAGTAAACGATGTATCCATTTGCATCGCCTTGATACCGTCAGCGCTTCGTTGTCACCATTCCTACCAGAAGTCCCTATACTGGTTCAAGAGTATTGACTAATGGCCAATCGATTCTGTTAGAGTATTGATCTAGTGGAAATTCCGTACTTAGTCTTGGAGTTTTAATCTGAGACATACCTATTCTCTTCTGTGTCCAAGTACTGATTGGACATCGTCCGTTTCTATCCGGGCCGAGTGTTATTTGACCCGTTCCATCTCTATTCCTTTGACCCGTTTCCTACCGTCTGTATTCTGTGGATATTAATCACAGCTTAATTGTTGCCAGGATTGACGTTTTAATTTTTATTTATTGTATAGGATCTAATTTTGTTTTGTTATTTGTTTATTTCGAGTATATTTTTAATAAATTTAAAGCTGAGTTTTACTGAGTCTGCTGTCTAAAGCTACCCATCACAACACATAATAAGAGACGTTCTTTATTTAAGATATCAAAAGGTAGTGGTAGACCTTCGACGCGAAAGACTGGTGACTTAAACAAGATACAACAAACTGGATTGACACGGCATAAGATCGAGAGTAGTTGAGATAACTAAGGTAGGTCTGTGTTCATCAGTGGATGTTACATACTCTGTGATGATTATGGTAATCTCATGACACAATAGGCATTTATGGAGAAGTTGTCTATAAGTGTTAAAAGTCTATCTGTGTGATCTCTGACGTATATGAGGTCCATAATATCAATGGATAACACAAAGACTTGAAGCTAACAAAATTGATAAAATAATAATTCAAATAAAGTACTCACCAACTTCACCTAAAGAATGTCCACATATTCCATCCGGATAAATATTTAATGAATGCAATAAATCTGTTAAAGCAATTTCTATGCTTCCTATACCAGAAAAGAGATTGGTAAAATTATCGAATACTTTGGGATCTTCACTTGTGATAACATTAAGTAAATCGACACCATAAGGCTCTAAAGCTTTGGCGCAACGATTTATAGTGCTTTTAAATATAGGAATATTTAATAAATCTCTACCCATTTTATTCCACTGACTTCCCATGCCGGTGTATACGAACCAGATTGGTCGCTGTTTATTATATTTTCCAATTTCTTTAATCTGATGTTCTCCTAATACCGTATAACTATAACAAAGATTATAATTGTAAAACTGTATAAATAAAACTATATACTGTATAACTATAGCTAAAGTAACTAAACAGACTGTAAGGATACATATTTGGCAGCTACAAAAACGGCTCTCTGAAAATTTTCATTAATCAAGTTGAAGCCAAGATTAAGATACATTTTTATATTAGAAAATTAAAAAGTGTTGCCCTTGAACTAGATGTAAAGTAATTCACGTTGACATGGTGAATCAGGTGAAACAATGAAATGCTCTATTTCTTTTCCCAATACACAGATGTCTCTATAAACCTAAATGCCGACAGTTTATTATAATTTATACAGCAAGCACTTTGGGAAAATCAATAATTTTTATACTTGTTGCACTACTATTCACCATCTCACTCCATGTTAAATAGTGGAAATGGTAAACTCGGACAACAGCGATATAGTGAATGCTTTAGTGAAAGCGTTGAAAATAGCGCCACTCTTTAAAATTCGGCTAAGTCCAATTTGGTTTTATTTGTTTGGTCCGATTTGATTTGGTTTGTCAGTGATTAAAAAAAAACTATTCTCGTGTTTCTGGGCATAAGTAAAACTTCTATTATCATTGTTTTAAGCAAAGATGTCTACGTTTAATAAAAGGCAAAGAGGATCCATCTGTGCTGAGTGGGCAGAAGAGCAACTTTGATGCCGTAAATGCAGTACAGAATTAAATGAGCCTAATGAAGCATCAAAGGAGTATGGCGTTCCATGGTCACCGCTATAGAGAAGAATAGCAATGGGTGCTTTACAAAAAAAGCCTTTTGATATACCGCCTGTCTTAACACAGGAATGTGAAAAGAAGAGGTAAAACATATCATAAGATTACAAAAATGCGAATTTGCGCCGACTAAAACGGAAGTACGTCTTATTGCAGATAAATTAGTCGGGAAATGTAATCTGCAAAGAGTATCCGCGAAAAGAAAATTGCTGGCATGAATTGGTTATATTTATTCTTAAAACGAAAACAAACTCTCAATGCGCAAATCGAAAGTTTCATGATCAAGAGGTTTAAACAAAAAAAAAATGTTTCAAACTACTTTCCATTATAATTTTAACTAAACAAAAGACCAGATTATGTGTTGGTAAAATCAGATTAACAGCCGGCGTACCGCAAGGTTCCGTATTAGGCCCGACGTTATGGAATGTACTATATAATGGAGTAATAAAGATAGTAAATAGCATGGCAATAGCCTATGGCGACGACCTAGCTATATTAGTAACAAGTGACACGTATTGAAAAATCATAGACACTGTAAATGACTGCTTTAGTAAAATAAATAGGTGGATGACGAATAACGACCTGGAACTTGCAGGCAACAAGACCGAAGCGCGCATCCTGAAAGCCCTGAGAGCTGAGCCAGATTTGATATTCCAACTAGGTAGTAATAAGCTAAAATCAACGAACTGTGCTCAATATCTTTGGCATTGATTTAAACAGAGACCTACGCTTCACGAAACATCTTTAGAGAGTGGTTAAAAAGGCTTACGAACAGACAGCAGCTATTCAGAGAATAACACCGAATATAGTTGGGCTTAGCAGCAACAAGAGAAGATTGTACCTACACGTTATACAATCGACCCTCCTATATGGAACACCCGTCTGGATAGATTTACTGAGATATCAAAAGTACAAAGATATGATCAACAGAGCACAGAGAAAACCCCTTCTCAAAGTTACCAGTGCGTACGGAACAATTTCTACCCTGACCCTACAGACAATCGCTGGTACGCTTCCCATTTACCTCTTAGCCAAAGAACGGCACATGTTATACGATAAGCGGAACGGTCACTTACCCTAGGTAAGAGCGGCCGTACGAGAGCAACTACTAGCAGAATGGCAGAGGGAATATGAGGCACAGACTACAAAAGCTCAATGGACCAAAGCGCTAATCCCTGATGTGGTGGCTTGTACAGCTGCAAGTTTAAACGAGTGAACTATTATTTTACACAATTTTTGACCGGACATGGATCTTTTAGGTCTTACACATACGCTATCAAGAAAACCAATGATGACATATGCTCTACATGCTACGAAAGGGACGACGCTGAACATTGCATCTTCTGGTGTAATGTTTTCGAAGCGTCGAAGAGGGGGTGGTTTTAGTTGGTAGGCGACCTGACAGGGGCGCACGATGGAGGCCCAAATTTTGTGTGATCTCTGTGACGTTCTCGTGTGGTCCTGTCTTGTTGAATCCAAGAGTACTAGGAAAGGGACACCTTTCCTAGTCGGTTTCGAACCTTTGCACCTCATTCCAAAAAAAGTTATGTGTTGGCAACAAAGAGATTTAAGAGCGTAGCTGCAATAACATTCAGTGAAAAGGCTGAAACCATATCTGTTATGCTTGCTGCAATGGAGAGAATTATCATCACAAGCCTGCTCTTAGATAGATTTAGAGAAGTGCGACCTTTTCGGATCTATTGTGGTCCTCTTGTCCTAGATAACATACTTTAGCCTGACCCTTTTTTTAAGTTTAATAGCTTCGAGACTGTACCTTCCATGTAGCTGTTTGCCGATTATTTTTTCTCCTAATGCAAGAACCGCACATTTGCCAGACTGTCACACTGGCATCGAATGTGCTCTACTGTTTCTTCTTCGAGGTGACAAAATCTTCACAGGTCATCATCGATAATCCATCAGCTTAAGTGCCTATTCAGCTTATAGTGCCCTGTTAGAAGACCTACTATGGCTTTGACTGTTTTCCTGTCTTTGCTTATTAGGTCTGCTGTAAATTTTGGCTAATGTTCTGTAATGAACTGTTTCGCCCGTCTTTGTTCTAGTGAATTCCTCTACATTCCAGAGATTTGTAAGCTACCCACTTTCTTGTAGCCGTTCTTGTTACTGTCTCTTACTACTGACACTTTAGCACTGATATGCACTACTTGCTGCTTACTGCTCTACTTAGTAGCACCAATCAGTTCTCACAAGTACCGAAGGAATATGCACTTTCTCACAAAAAGTGTCCGGAGTGTCCAAAAAGTCCAGAATGAAACTAGCTCCTTCTTTAGTAAATGTAGGTGTATCGCCATTGTTAAGCAAGACAACGTCCAGCATTACAGTGGTGATACACCTGCATTTACTAGAAGAGAAGCAAGTCCCACTGTGGATCTCACTTTCATTCAGACCTGCCTCGTTGAGGGAAACTGTTCTTGGAAGGGAATGAATACAGGAATGAAGGGATAAAAAATAGCTTTAACATGAAAGGAAGTTTTAGTACAATTTAAAGAAATATTCCTAGTATTGCTAGTGGTGGTTAAATAAAGTTAAAAAAATGAAGGAGAAGAGAAGCTATACACCATATAACAGTACAAATAAAATTGGTAGGATGCTTATCCTTAAAACTATAAAAAGAAAGCGAAAGAAGCAGTAGCAAAAAATAAAACAGAAGTGTATACAAATCTATACGATCAACTTGATACCAGTGAAGGAAAAACACAGGTATATAAAATAGCAAACATAAAGCACAGAAATTAAAGATTCTAATCAGATTAGATAATATATCCGAAAAAAAAATCACGAATTTTATTTAAAACCAGATGAGCTAACGGCGACAGTAATAGCAATAGTGACCCAACTAACTAGATTTCCCTCTGCGACGTTTTTTGGTTCTGTGGCGTTTTCCCTAATTTTCTTGAAAATTTTTACCCATCAGATAGGAAAATTTGAAATCAACTTCTTTCATACAACATATTCTTTTGATTAAATAGCTTAAAAGTTACAAGACAAAGACGAAAATAAAATTATCTGATGATAAATATAGATAACCAGCTAATTTTTTCAGAATACTTTTATCTACAGCAGCAAAACAACGTTTCATATTGTCTTGTTTGACATGTATATTTAAGCAACTTTACCAAAATTCAATATTAAGCCAAAGCTCTTTACGTAATATCATTGCAATAATAAAAATAAGGTCTTATATTACAAACAAAATGTACATACCCTCTGTAATTATGTCCCTTTACATTAAGTTTATGAATTTCATCTACCATGGCTAAAAATTCTTGGTCGTCCTGGTTCTTCTCCACACCATTTAAAAAATGTAATACTGCTTCTTCTGTTCTTCCAGAGACCTGAACTAAACGATTTTTGGGTCTTTTATATACGATAGCAGACTTTTCTTTTTTGTTAGAATCAATAACAATGTGCGTATTTGCTCCTCCAAATCCAAAACAATTTACTCCGATAATTCCACCGTTGAATTTAGTATTTTTTGTAACAACCTAAAAAACTTACTTAATATGTATTAAGATTGACGATTAACAAGTTAATAATGATATCATGAAATAAAAACTAAGAACAAATCAGAAATATGAAAAACTTAAAAAACTGAAAAAATAAAAACTAACGCAACTGAGCTGAATCTACGACTTTGGCTTGAGTGAAAACTTAATACTCATAGAAAGAAATACTTTTTTAATTAATATCGAGACATCGAGATTGTAATTAAAGAAGGCCTTGGAATAATCCTTATTTCTTTTGATTGTCAAACCTTATTGTTTATCTTGGAGGATACATTTGCTTAAATTACTTCTTCTAATACAGCTTATATCAAATTGTATACTCAACAAAATGTAATACAGTATAGCCCAAAATAAACAGTACTGAACTTGTAATTCTTTTATTGGTTTAAAAAATGCATATTATTGACACTTTGTAACATGTTCTAAATGAGCTCCTCCTCTCTGAAGACAAACTTCCAGATATTCCAGATTTATCGTAATTTTATCAAATAAAAGTTGTCTCAAGTCCTAGAAGAAGGCTCTAACGTCTTTAAAAATAGTAGTTTTAGCTACCCCAAATGTATGCGTCTGGAGATGTTAAGTATCTAAGAAATGGATTTGTTTGGAAAATGTCCCTAAACAAATTAACGAACTTCGGCAGCAGTATGACAAGTTGCCCTATCCTGCTAGAAAAATTGGTCTCGAAATGCCAAATTACGTTCACGACAATATTGACGTCGATCAGGGATAAAGCATCTTAAAATTTGTATGTACTTTGTAGAGTTTTAAATTTCTTTTAACTATGAAATATTTATGTATAAAATTTTGTAGTACGCCTCTGTCCGAGATATGAATTTTTGCGTTCTATCTGTTGAGAAGTTTAAATGTCCGATATATTGCGTTTAATTTTATACGATACAATTTGCAAGTCTTGTGCTTTTTCTATAACACGTAATAACTCTGGAATTGATTCAATGGTTATTTTCACAACTGAAAGTCGAAAAAATTTGTTTGGTTCCGTGGCACAAGCGAGTGAGCGAAGAAAGGGGAGAGTAACTGGCCGGTTTTTGAGATCGGCGATGCGAAGGTCAATTTTAGGTGGAGAGAGTTGCTTGAGCGAGATGGAAGTTGTTATTTGTTATGAAGTGACCCGGCATTAATTCCACAAAATTAGTGGAATTTTCACTCTATGTAATATGTCATATTTAAAAGAGTGACCACTGCTCGGTGTTCTGAAGATTTATAATGTTTGAAAAGTGAACAAGTTGGTTCCTGTTTTTTAAAAATCCCGTTTTTCCAAGGTTTGTGTAGATTTCTCTTCACCTCATTTAGTACGCTCCTGAACAGTTTTGTATTTGAATGTGCCAGTTTCAACCTCCAATTGTAGTTGTTCTTTGATTGTGTCCAGATAGTTCAACTCCAGAGATGTTAGCAAAAATTCCAGAAGTTTTAGTGCAAAATTTTATATGAATAAAAGGTAACATTTTCAAAGTTAACAGTTTCAAAAATTTCAAAGTAAAATATAACAAAACATACTATTCTGGAAGTGCAGAAGATGACACACATCATAGGAATGGAGTTGGCATATTTATAACGTCTAAATTTAAGAAATATGTGAACAATTTTATACCAGTAACGACAGATTAGCAATACTCCAATTAAATAGCAAACCATTTAATGTCAATATTATCAAGATATATTCCCCTACTGCGGAAAAGAAATACGACAATGATGTCAGATCATTCTATATTTAATTAAAACAGACACTTAAAAATCTAAAAAGTAACGAAGTCACATATATCATTGGAGATTTTAACGAAACAATTGACCAAGGCCGAAGATCTGACCTGGTAGGTGAATATGGACTAGGGGAGAGCAATGAAAGAGGCGATAGATTATACCAGTTCTGTCAAGAACATGACATGATAATCGCAAATACATGGTTCAAATTACACAAAAGAAGGTTATACACATGGAGAGGACCAGGAGATAATTCACTACATATGATTAGAAATCAGACTATATTCTGGTAAATAAGAGATTTAAGAATGGCGTCACCAGAGTAACGACATATCCTGGTGCAGATATCGGTTCAGACCATAACCCTGTAATAACTGACATCAAAGTGAAGCTCAAAAAAGTCCAAGAAAGCTCCAAAACATCAAAATTAAATATCTCAATATCCAACAAAACGTTAATAGAAAATGACTTAAACAATGAGCTAAAGAAACCAATAAATGAAAAAGGGTACAAAAAACAACAATGGATGACTGATTAAATCCTGGAACTATTGGAGCAGAGAAGGAAACATCATCCACAGTACAATCAGAGATAAATGTGAAGGTGAAGTTAAAGGTCAATACACTGACTATGTAACAATCATGCGTGGAGTAAGGCAAAGCTGTATTTTGTCTCCTCTAATTTTTAATCTGTACTCTGAAAGAATATTTATCGAAGCTTTGCACGAAACTGAAAAAAGTATTTCATTAAATGGTTACCGGCTAAACAAAATCAGATATGCAGATGACACTATAGTATTTGCAGATAACTTAGAAGACCTACAGGTTCTTATAAACAAAATTACGCATTACAGTCAACAATATGGACTTAATATAAACGTTAAGAAGACAACGCTTATGATAATAAGCAAGAAAAGGATAAAAAAGGTTAACTCTACGTCAACTAATGTCTTGTAGAAAGAGTGACGCACTACAACTACTTCGGCAGCATATTAAATGAAGAATGAATAACAACATAAGAATCCTCAGAAGAATGAATAAGAACCGAGAGGTAGTGACCACCATTAAATCTCGAAAGTTACAATATTTCGGATATGTTGTACATTTCGGACACATTATACTCTTTAGTGCTGCAGTAGATAAAGTAAAGATAGTGATGATAATATCCAACCTCCGATTGGGAGACGGCACTTAAAGAAGAAGAAGGACATATTATGCGAAATGAATCCAGGTCTGCTGTCCTTCAAGCAATCCTGCAAAGAATAATATTTGGAAATCGAGGTCCAGGAAAAAGAAAAACATCTTGGTTAAAGAACCTCAGAATCTGGTTCAATACAACATCTGTGCAGCTTTTTCGCGATGCTGCAGATAAGATAAAGATTACCATGATGATCGCCAACATTTGTAACGGATGGGCACTTCAAGAAGAAGATAATCGAATATTTACCGATAATATTGTATATTATATGATACAGATTTAAAAGAATCATGAGGAATCATTTTATATATTTCAATTAGCTCCTAAATTTTAAATATAAATTCGAAATTTTGCAAATATTTCACAACTTCAACTGTACTTCAAAGTACAGAATGACGTCGATGATTTGTTGTCTGTCTAACTGATTTAACTTTTATTAATATTTATTGTTGAATATTAATATAATTTTGTTTGTTAGTTTATTTAATTTAGGCAGACGTTAAATATGTTGATGAAAGTGACTTGTGATTTACTGGTAATATGGATGACCTTTGCAGCTATTATAAATTGTATAACGGAAATCTACCTAGAGAATAATTAAATGTGTTAAATCAGAGACAGAAGGTGCATAATTATGTCAAGGTATCGGTAGGGGAAATAAAATTTAAATTGCTTATGTAATTTTTTTTTTATTTTCTTACTTCCATATGCATTCATAGCTTATCTAAATTGCAAAATTGTTAAAAAGTATTAAAATATGATAAAAACCGGAAGAACTGCGATAATTTTAAAAATCAATGTTCAGTGTTGTTTTCTTGACAGATTATTCTAGTTAGAAATTATACCGCTGTTTTAATTTGTTAATTACTTTTTGGTAATAACAGTTTTTTATGTTATCAAAATCAAATTTTTGACAAAATTACAATACTCTTTATCTTTCCCAATTTTGAATTTTCATCTCATTTAAAACAGTAAAAATGGATTTTTTTTATTGTACTATTATTATTATCTTTCATATTACTTATATGACCCACCTGAACTTTTTACTTCGTCCATCATACTTGTTTTGTTGTGCATTCTTTCCAAGTATTCATTGTTTTATTTCGATACTGTCCAGTTATTCCATCAACTGTATGTCCAAATATTTTTCTACTACTACTACTATAACTATTATCGGTTTACAGCGTTCTCCGACGCCTTCCGACTCCTAACTGTCATTTTTCTTTATTTAACCATAGGCCTGGAGGGATTTCTCTTTCTTCTAGTTCTTTTTCAATTTTCTCTCTCCAACTTCTTCTCGGCCTTCCTCTTTTACTTCTCCCCTGTGGTGTCCACGTTAAAATCTGTTTCGGAATCCTATCATCTGACATTCTGTGCACATGGCCGTACCATAATAATTGTTTTGTTTTTATGTCGTCATTTATTGTATGCTTGACTGCTATCATTTCTCGTATTCTCTCATTTGGTATCCGATCTCTTCTTGATTTGCCTACTGCTCTTCTCCAGAAGTCCATTTTTGTTGCTAGTAACAGTTTCTCTGTTCTTTGTTTCACTGGCCAAACTTCACTGCCATATGTGATTACACTTTTAAGTATGGTGTTGTATGTGAGTTGTTTGTTCGCTTTAGATATTGTTTAGTCCTACAAAATGCCATTTATCATGGAAATGGCTTTTCTACCCTGTATGTTTCTGTCTTTTATAGCAGAATCAAGTGTCCCATCTTGAGTTATCTTCATACATAAGTACTTGTATTCATCACAGTGTCTAATTTCTACCCCATCGTCTAATATAATGGACTGCTTTGTCACTTCAATACACATGGCCTCAGTTTTCCAAATGTTGACTTCGAGGCCCCATTTGTTATATTCTTCTATTAGCTTCCGAGTCATGTAACTCAAGTCGTCATGATCCTAAGCAATCAGTATTTGGTCATCAGCGAAATATAAGGTGTACGGTGAAGTCTCGTCATTGAGAGAGATTCCCATGCCATTACATTTTCTTTTCCACAGTTTGAGAGTTTGTTCCAGATAAATTTGGAAAAGGGTAGGCGAAATACAGAAACCTTTAGTCCTTTCGTGACCTTAAATCCCTCAGATACCCTTGATCCAGTTTTAATTTTTGCAGTCGTTTCATTATACAGACTTTGGACTGCTTTGATAAGACCATGCTTAATGTTGCTTTGCTGTTGGGTTGACCATAGTTTACTGAGATGTACACTGTCATATGCTTTTTGTAAGTCTACGTACATCAGGTGAACTTTTTTATTGACGGCTGTTTTTTTCTCAATAACTTGTGTAATAGAGTACAAGTGGTCTACTGTAGATCGCCCAGCTCTAAATCCAGCTTGCTTCTCTGCTTCGTAATCTCTATAGTCATTTTCTATTTTGGTCTTAACACGTTTCCCATAATCCTACTTATTGTGCTGTTTACCGCAATTCCTCTATAATTTTTACACTGATCCTTGCTTCCCTTTTTGTGGATAGATGACGTGATAGATAATTTTAATTTTTTTGGTAATTCGGCCCCATTCAAACAGTCTTGATAGAGTTTCTCTTAACTGTTCCTGGAGTTATTCGGTACAGGATTTCACTAATTCTGCAGGGATGTCACCAGTACCAGGGGATTTTTCATTTTTACTAACTTATTTGTAATGGTGATGAGTTTATACGTATACCTATCGTGTTGTTTTCCATGTTAGTAAATTCTGGTCTTTGTTCTGTTAGTAATTTTTTTAAATATTCTTCCCATTTTTCTGTTATTATTGGTGATATAATGTCTTTTTTCTTATTAATTTTCATACTTTTATTCAATCTCCAACTCTCTGTGCTTCTTCTACCTCCTATGCAGGTGATGATCTTTTGGCAGTTCTGTTCACACGATTCGTTCTTTTTTGAGTTATCTTTTTTCTTACTTTGGCTTGTGCTTCCTTGTAAATTATTTTATCGTTTTCTGTTTTTGTTTTTAAGAATGTTTGGTATTACCGACGTTTGTCTCTAATTTCCTTCTCTATTTCTTCATCCCACCAGTATGATTTTATTCCTCTATAATTTTCGAGTTTGTTTGGGAGTACCGTTTTAACTTCTATCAGATGATGATCGGTGCCACATGATGGCCCTCTGGCTACTAGCACATCTTGTATATTAATTGTAGTTTTTTGTCTTACAATAATATAATCTATTATAGATTTGAGATTTCTGGTCTGTTGTATCCACGTGTATTTGTGTATATCGCGATGTGGATTAAATCTATTTAATATTTTTAAGTTATTTTGTGTGCATGCTGTTATTAATCTCGTTCTATTTATATCTGGTTTCAAAAATATTTTTCTCGTTATATAATTGGTTCTGATCCTGATAGTTGAGGTTTCCAAGCCTTTATCATCATCATCATCATCCAACCTTCATTTTTCACGTCCTGTGCTGGACATAGTTCTCAATTAAACTCCTCCATTCTTAACGATTCTGTGCTCTTTGTTGCCAATATTTGGTGATACGCCTAATGTCGTCTTCGTTTCTTATTTGGTCCAGCAGTCACTTCCAGTATGACTCTCAATTTCGAAGCCGTAGTTTTGGTTAGAGTCATAGTTTTCGCCCCATAGCTCATGATTGGTAAAACACAATAGTCAAATAAGACATTTTTATTTACTTTTTTCTACGTTTCGGCAAGAAATCAAAAAAATATTTTATCAAAGACATTATAAGGTTTAAAAGAGCAACTTTTGACTTACTAAGCATGTAAAAGTTGGTTGCTAACAAGTATATATTATACGACAAAATCAAAATAATAATAAAAGCATAGGACACACCCACTAAGTTACTACATATTAAATGTATTATAAAATTTAATATGTTGTTTATTGATGTTGGTTTATCATTTAAACAATCAGTTATTTTAACATGATATGCATTCTGAGATTATCTTTTCGTGTGTCCTAAATTAAATTAAAATACATCTTGATTAAATTCTTACATTTTTTATCATTTATTGCATTATTATTCTTTTTGACTTGTACAGACTCTAGGAGCTCCCTTTTCCTCCTCCCGTTATGTTCACTTTTTAGAATCTTGGTTTTAGTAAAATCAAATTTATGTGTCTTTTCGTTTTGTTGTTTGTGAGGGCAGTTGAATTTTTTCTATCATAATTGTGAGAACGTAATCTTGAGTTAAGTAGCTAACTGGTTTGTCCAATATATAGGTACTCCATCACAATTCGATCAGGCAATTTCATACAAAACATGTAAAATTCTTTTTCAAAATATTGTGATGTTTATGAGCAACCGTAACGTTATGTTTATACAGACGATTTGCAAGTTATTCTGGTAAACCTTTTATATAGGGGACAGATATATAGTTTTTCTTTACCCTGTTGGGTTTATGTTACTATTATTATTGTAAAATGTATGCAGTCGCGATTTGAAAGTATTGTCGATAATGTGGTGTGGGTATGAATTAAGTGTTATTGCTCTTTTTGTTTTTTTAAAGGTCTGAGATCTATTCGGCGAGTCCAATAAGTAAAGATTATTTTTGAGACAAGGGATGATGAGAGTTGACATTCAGATATCTCGATAACCAGGTTTTTGGTGTACCTTTTAGTAGTATGGTTTTATTTTATCTATATAATTACTTCATGGTACACCAAAAAAACCTGGTCATCGAGATATCTGAATTTCAACTCTCATCATCCCTTGTCTCGAAAGAAATCCCCTGTTCTCTTTTCGGAGAACGATTTCTGAAACTTATTCTGCGAAGCTCTTAGAAACCAATGGAGCAAAAATTGTTAGGAATATTGGAAGAAATCACGATCCTAGATAATGGAGAAACGACGAGAGAGTGAGATTACGAAGTCAATATCTGGCAGTTCTTCAACCGTGTATTTTTAAATCATTATATCGATGTAATCCGGCAGATCCCCTGATCTAACTTAATTAGATTTCTTTTTATAGACTTATGTCAAAAGCTCTGAATACAAAACTAATCCTTCGCCTCGGAAGCTGACCTAGGAAGATTAATAATAGTTGTGATTAAAAATGAAAATTAAAAATTCAAGAGATTAGTTGTTTTGGCTGTACAACAAACAAGTTACTTACACCAGCTGTAAAGAAAATTAGAAAAGCTTTAATAGTAACCAATTTTTAATAGGAAAAAAACATAAAGGAGAAATATAATCCTTTGGAGCACAACGATTGCTGTCTCGTTGTAATATGAACTAACCATTCACGTAGAAAAGACTACCTTTTAAATGGGTATACCCAGAAATATAAGAAAGCAAGTACGTATCTTATACCTATGTGAATGTAAAATTTGTACCTTCAACTGGTTTTCCTTTACTCCAGGCAGGGTACTATCTAAGAATTCAGTATGGATATTTGCTGGTATTATGCCTTCCTCCATAGCAAAAACTGCTTTTGTTAAAGAACACAATCCTGAAGCAACTTCGGAGTGACCCATGTTTGATTTGACGGATCCAATAAGTAAGGGTTCGTTTCTTTTTTGACAGAAATGTTTTCTAAGAGATTCGCATTCAATTATGTCACCAACGGGAGTACCTTAAATGTTTTACATAAAAATTAGTGTTAGTATTTGTTAAGATTACTTAAGATATATAAACATAACTATTTTAAGTGGTATATACATAAATATTTCGCCATTTAAGTGGTACTGGCAACGAGAGTACCAAAGATTCCTATTTTGGCTTAGATTTAAGCAGTTTAGTTATAATATAATGGCCATTTGGCCCTTTGAAAACAGTCAAGTGGTAAGTAGATATTTGCCGCCAAGATATAGAAGTCATGAAGAAAGAAAGATCGGATCTGAAACCTCCTTTATATCTTTTGATTGAACAGTGGGGCTTACACATGTTTAAAATCAAACCAGTCACATATCGTCATGAAGTGGTACCTACTTGAACGCCAAGCTATGCCTACCCCTCCTCATCATGTCACTTAAGAATGATGAGCCTTATGTACTGGTCGTTACTTTAGATGCTCTGGATAATGGAATATCCTTTTGGATTTTCTTGGTTGTGGTTAGGCCACCTGACTTTAGGGGCAGCTTATAAACAGTTTTTTTTCCTATGAAATGACTGAATTTAACTTGATACTTGACTTGAGTCCAAGAAAGGGTGTTTGGAAAAGAGAGCCAACAACCTAAATGAATGTCTCTCTAGCCAGAACTGTGTTTGTTCGATGATTAATCCGCCGAATTAACAACTATATTTTGTTCTACTCATCAGCTGAGCACCCGAAGGAACTGAGCATCGAACCACGCCTAAGTTCGTGAACAGTAGGTCCTTTGACTTGCATTAAAGGCTTTTTTGTGTATGTATGTACGAATGAAGTCAGAATTCGCATAATGTTATTCATTTAATGTTATTACTTTGTTGGCTTGACTGCTGTAGATCTGATGACAGAGTTGTTAGTAGAGTTTAAGATAAAAACAATATTAGGAGGAATGTCGTAAAATTTTTTTTTTGGTTTTTTTGTTTCCTTGGTTCTTTGCTTTTTAATTTTTTTATGGCGTAACTGGTTAGTAAAATAGAATATACCTTACCAAAAAAAAATAATAATAAATAAATAAAAATAGTATAATGTAAGAAATAAGAATGATTGCTCTTTAGAGATAGGAGTTGCAATATGCCGGTGAAAAGTGTTGAAAAATCCGACAAAATCCGTGCAAAATCCGAGAGTGGACTTTTTATTTTTTTTATATGATACTCTCGTACTTAAGTAAGAATTATCGTCTTTTTTATTGTTCTATTAACTCGGTATTAGTACTGTAAGATGCAAATTTTTGATTTAGTTATTAATAAATTACTAATAAATAAAATCAATATGTAAAAATTGTGTAGGATTTAATTTCTCTGAAGAAAATTCCAAGTGGCACCCTTTATGGCAAATTATCTATGATGTTTACTTGTATTGTTTATTCAATATTTATAGTTTAGCTCTAGTAGCTATTATCTTTATCTTTCTCTTAAATTTTTTAATGCTTGTAAGATTGTCGCAAGAACAACAGTCCCGACCCTAAGCAACGCGACGAAGATTTTTCCGTCGTTAGTTTTGTTACAATCAATTGGTACATAAACTTAAAGGATTGTGAATAAAGACTTATCTTTATACATCATGTTATTGTTTAATAAAAACTATAACAAATTAATGATATAAATATTAATTAAAGAAACATTAATGAGATTCCACAGAAACAGTCAATATCAGTTTATTGTTTAATATTTATTTGAATGTATATGAAAAATTAAACTTACCTGTTCCGTGTGCTTCGACATACTGAATTGCATCTGGATCTACGTTGATAGAATCGTATAAGTTTCTCATTAAGATAAATTGTTCCTCGATAGAGGGATAAGTAATTCCTTCTTCTTTAAAACCATCCGTAGCGGACTTAGCTGCAAGGACAGTGGCATATATTCGCCTACTTTTACTCTCTCTTTGTAAAAAGTAACTAACTACCGTTTCTGCTCGTACATATCCATCTCGGTTAGTTGAGAAAACCTTGCATTTACCTTCAGGTGACAACATATTTAGCCTTAAATAAGTATACATAAAAAATTTGAAATATGTACTGTATTTAATACACAGATTATGTTAGTAATACATTTTATTAGACAATCCTCACAAATAAGATCAGTCCAAGCTGAAGTTAAACTGCAGGCAGTTTTGTAGGTGATATTTGCTGCTACTTTCCGACCAAGCAGCGGCAATACTGGATTGCAGCGGATAATATTTAAGAAATCATACCTTAAAAAAGGTCATACAAGCCTAGACAAAAGTAATCTGGTAAGACACGTATTGCTATCATTAAATAAACCTAGCCTAAATGACTGCAATAAAGATTCTTATAAATATCCCTTGTATGGAAAAGGTAGAAAAGTTTTAGTCAATAGTAATCACTTAACCACGTAGATGGAACCATAGAAAGGGTTGAAAATTACAAATACATTTCTGAAATACCTTTCAGAAAATAATATTCAAACAACGATTATAAGGGCCAGGATACAAATAGCAAAAAGTATGTTTGTAAAAGTTCAACATAAAAAGCTTGTAGATATATTAAAAAGCAAAAATATTGACAGTCGTGATCTGAAAATTATATCTAATTTATATTGGAATCAAACTGCCAAGGTAAGAGTTGACAGCCAGTACACCGAAAATATTAAAATACAGAGAGGAGTCCGCCAGGGTTGCGTGCTGTCCCCACTACTTTTCAATGTCTACAGTGAAGCGGTATTTCAAGAAGCGCTCTCAGACTCAATAGAAGGTATATCTATCAATGGAGAAGTTTTGAATAACTTACGTTTTGCAGACGATACAGTAATAATTACGGATAACAACAATGATTTACAGAGCCTAATGCAACGCCTTAATGAACGCTGTCATGAGTACGGACTGAAGATAAATTTAAAGAAAACTAAATGCATGATCATGACTAAATCTGCACATGCAAATATCCAATTGACTATTGAAGATACTGCAAATGAGAATGTTAATAACTATAAATATTTAGGAACATGGATAACATCAGATGTAGACCAAACCAAAGAAATTAAGACACGTATTGAAATAGCACGTACATCATTTATTAAACTTAAAAAGTTTCTTTGTTGTCGGGATATAAGGTTAGTACTACGCCTGAGAATGCTTCGATGTTACGTGTTCTCTACTCTTCTTTATGGTCTGGAAGCTTGGACACTCAAACAAGTTCATCCGAATAAGCTGACCGCCTTTAAATTTTGGTGTTACAGAAGAATCCTACGAATATTATGGATTCAAAGAATGTCAAACATGGAAGTAACTAGAAGAATAGGAAATGAGGCGGAAATAATATTAACTATTAAAAGACGAAAACTTGAGTACTTGAGACATGTGATGAGAGGGCAAAAATACGCATTATTACAACTTATGCAGGGCAAAATCCAAGGAAAGCGAAATCTGGGAAGACGAAGAATATCCTGGCTTAAGAACTTAAGGGAATGGTTTGAATGCAGTAGTGCAGAACTTTTTAGAGCGGCAGTCAACAGAATCAGCATAGCCATGATGATTTCCAACCTTCGATAGAAGATGGAACTTAAAGAAGAAGAAAGAAGTGTTTGTAAAAATGAAAAGAATTATTTGCAATAAAGATCTTACACTAGAACCGAGAGTGAGAGGTCTTGGACTTCAAAGCTAGGCACTTAAGTGAGTAGATATAATTATCTAGTCATTTTAAATATGGTGTTACAGACAAATGCTTATGATACCATGGCTACAAAAGAAAACGAACATGGAATTATTGCGATAACTGGGCAAAGTATACGAAATAATAAACACAATAAAAACAACTAAGTTATAATATCTGGGACATGTGATGAGGGGATAGATATATGGAATTCTAAGATTGATAGGACAGGAAAAAATAAGAGTACAAAGGAGTATAAGTAGAATGAGAGTATCATGGTTGAAAAATTTAAGGGACTAGTTGAAGTGCTAGTAGAAAGCTACAATGAAAATACAAATAGATGCGAAAATCAAAGCTATACCAATCAGTAGATGAAGAGTTTGCCAGGGAGATGTTATCTCACCAAAGCTATTCACACTTGGGCTGGAAGACGTGTTCAAAGATATTTACTGGGCAGATAAAGGAATAAATTCACAAGGAAAACAATTCCTGTAGCTGGCTGTATACCACGTATCACAAAAAAAGAGGTTAGTCTTCGTAAGTGGGTATATTTATTTTAAAAACCTTTAAAAGGGCTACATCAAAAAAACAAACGTTTTCGGACTAAACAGTCCATCATCAGGTTTAAAATCGCTAGGTTAAAATGCCTGAGCCACCAAAATGCATGGGTAAAAATGCTTTAAATTACATATAGTTATAAAAGATTATACATCTTGTTGTTAAAAAACTGTGATGTTCAGTATTAAATTAAATATGACTTCAGCTAACATACATTGTAGAATTGAGTTCCAGAGCCGGGAAGTAAACCTCTACGCACGGAGAACAGCTGGAAACTGGAGTTTATATATATTTTTGTTGAAGTTTTGTAAAATAAAAGATGAAAAAAGTAGGCATTTAAGGCTAAAATAAAACGTAATTAAATTTAACTGTGACATTGCCATCATTTGTCAATAATTTGTGCAAGATTGGAGTAAAATGAAATGTTGGGCCTAACTCAATTTACTTAAATTTTTTATTGATTTTGTTATATTACTCCTTACCTCATAAACTCCGCTGTTTCAAAGGGATGTTGAAATAAGTGTGTACCACAGACTATGGCACTATCAGTTTCTCCTAACATCATATCCTTAATCGCACAGACAAAACCATAAGTACTACTTGAACATGCAGCGTCCATAGCAAAGCTTGGACCTTTAAAGTCAAAGCAGTATGAAATTCGGTTAGCAGCTACAGATAAGTTAGCACCGATAACAGTATAGCCATTGGTGCTTTTTTCTTTATGAAATTCTTCATAGCAATTGAAGCTACCTATTGCGACATAGACTCCTGCAAAAATCCTTCTTCTTTAATAAAAATCATGTAAAATCCTAACGATGTAATTTTACATAACAATAATAGTTTTATTGCTAAGTGTTTTAGTAATTTTTGTAAACATATAATATATTTAATAAAAATATACAGTGTCATGACTAACTAAAATAAATTGAATAAAATGTACAGAAATGTATCTTACATAATATCTAAGACACATTTATTGCCGAATTTTATTTAGTTTAATACATTTCCAAACATAGTTTTTTATTTTTAGACCGAATTTTTACTTACCCCGCTGAAAAGACTATTTAAAAACTATTACAGCGCACTATACCACAATATACAGGGTGTTCCATAATTAATTGGACATTAGTTAATGGGTGAGAGCTGAAATTAAAATAAAACGTTTGAGCTCAAATTGCTTAGGCAAAATGTTGCTAGTTTTCGTTCTACAGGGTGATTCATTAATATTTTTTTATATTATTTTTAGGGATATATTGAAAAACTATTCAACCGATTTAAGTAAAATTTAGTATCTTGCTATTATTTACCTTTGACTCAGTAACAAATTTTAAAAAATCAGAAATTAAATTACACAATGAAGTGAATATAAAACAATTAACAAAGTGAATATTTCAAAACAAAACGAAAAAAATTACAATAAGTGTTCAAAATGTGCACCATTAGATAAACTACATAATCTAAATCTCTTGTGTAAGTTTTGTCTTATTTTAAATAATGAGTTTCTTTGGGCCCTAATTACGTTAACTCCCTCTACAAAATTTTACCATAATTCTTGACGGTTATTTTTTTTTATAAACAAGTGACTTTAGGTAGCCCCACAAGTGAAAGTCTAGGGGATTTAGTTCGGGACTGCGTGCTGGCCATGGGTATACACTACCTCTACCAATCCACCTTTGACGATAAATTTCATCTAGATAATTTCTAACTTCCAGGCTATAATGTGGTGGTGCACCATCATGCATGTACCAAGAGTTCCGTCTCAAATTTAGAGGTATGTCTTCTAAAAGAGTTCGTAAATATTTTCTCAAAAAATTCAGATACGTTACTCCATCAAGCCTAGTTGGTAATTCAAATGGTCCTACAATACAATCCCTAAATATGCCACACCAGATATTTATGGAAAGCTCGTGTTGAAAATGATGTTCTTGAAATGCATGAGGATTTGCTGTCTCGTAGGTATGGCTATTGCGCCAGTTAAATACACCCCTTCTAGTAAATGTGGCTTCATCGCTAAATAAAATTTTATTATAAAACATTGGATCGTCTAAATGCCGCCCCATCATAAACTGACTAAAGCGGAGCCTTGCTGGAAAATCCTGTGGTAAAAGATTCTGTACTGGAGTAAAATGATACGGATACAGATTTTCTGTCCGTATTTTTCTTGACACCGGATAAAGTTGGGATAAAGTTCGAAATAGAGTTCTTCTGCTTTACGAGAACAAAAAATTTTCCTGGGCATACAAACAGATCATATCGCGCATTTCTACATTAGACAATTCACTATGACGTGGCATTTTTCCTTTATCTTAAGTGGTTTATAAAGAACTTAATAGCACTTTGACAAATAATGACTCGCATCACTTTGACAACTAATAATAAATAAATTCGTAGTTACCTTAGACAACTAATAATAAATAAATTCGTAGTAACGTCTTGACGTTGTCATTAAGTTCAAAGCATACTTGTTTTGCAAAAAATTAAATAGAGACTTGCATCATTAACAAAATACGTTTATTTCGAAAACGGTGTACTTTTTTATGTGAAAGAAGACTAGGTACCTTTTTTGTGTAGAATTGAATGTTAGTTCATGTTTTTGAAGTTATACTTCTTTAGGTGTAATTGAGAAAAATGTTGCTAATCTTTGAATTTACGTATGTATCAGTGCAAATAAAGTGTGAAAAAAATATATTTTATAATTTTTGTGTCTTTGAATTTGTCTTCGTCGGGTATAGGATAATAGATATTAAAATATGATGATAAGAAGATTAAAAGGCTATCTTAATATTATTTGTAGATACCTATAATCTGTCAAAATAATTCACTTTAGTATAAATTTTACGGCCATAGCACACTGGCTACACCATGGCACCAGTTCGAAAACGGGAATCAAGCAGTGTCTACCGGGGTCAATCTTTGGATGGGTGACCGCTTAGGAATAGGAACATAACATGTCATGTTATTGCCTTGCTTACTTTTTTTTTATTTTCGGTATTATTTAAGAAAGTTTTTAGGAAACTTGTAAGTATTAAAATTAGTTTAATATTTAAATAAAACACAAATAAACTGTTTAAAATATATTAATTTCGTTGAAGTCATATAATAGAAGTATAACTTCTTACCTGCGTACAAAGTAGACACGTATTCTTTTTTAATAATAGACTCGCACTGCACTTTGACAACAAATAGTAAACAAATTCGTACTTACGCCTTGACTTTGCCATTAAGTTCACAGCATACCTAGGTACCTGCTTGTTTTGCGAAAAACAAAATACGTTTATTTCGAAAACGGTGTACTTTTTTGATTTGAAACAAGAATACCTTTTTTTGTGTAGAATTGAATGTTATTTCATGTTTTTTTTCCTAGAATGTTTATACAGGGCGGACAAAAAAATTATGGCCCCATTAATGAACCAATGTTACAGTAGGTGGCGCCACCTAGTGTCAATGGTAAAACTAATATCATTTTCTTATTAAGCATTCTAAATAATAGCAAGATACCAAATTTTACTTAAATCGGTTGAATAGTTTTTAATATATCCATAAAAATAATATATAAAAATATTAATGAATCTTCCTGAAGAACGAAAACTAGCAACATTTTCCTAAGCAATTTGAGCTTAAACGCTTTATTTGGATGTCAGCTATCACCTATTAGCTAATGTCCAATTAATTATGCGACACCCTGTCTAGTATATTTGGTTTGGTAGGTACCCAATGAATAATAATAAATAGCCATGGTCAAGGTAACTGACCTGACTCTAAAGACACAAATGTCTCTGGACAAGTTTAAAAAGAATTAAACCAAATAATATATCTCAGCTTTATAAATAGGAAAAAGTTGACTAAGTTGTTTGTTTAATATAGGTATTTATTGAAGTGGGACAAATGCTAGACGAATCGAGAACCAGTATATTAGTCCATGTCTATAAAACCAAAAGAGATATATTCAACAATGCAGAAACTATGGGACATAAACTTATATACAGTACATTTAACCAACTTATTCCTCTAAACGATTAATGGAATTCGCAGAAAACCTTTCGTTGTTGTAAAAGGCACGGTAAACTGCACTAGTGTTCTTCATAATCTTTTTAATTACTTACTTTGTTTAGAATATTTTTGCCTGTATTATCAGTTAAAGTTAAATTGTATAAACTGAGGAGATAAAATTTAAATATAATTTTAAAAATTATTGTTTATTTGGCAAATAATGAATGTATAAATATAACGATTAACCTGCTGTAGAGTTATTTTGTAAATAACATTTTAATAGTGTACTTACTGATTATTTAAATTTATAAATCATCTATAAAACATTTATTTACAGTTTTGGTTCATATTTAAGATTTATTTATACTATATATTAAAGATATACCTGAAATTTGCAAAAATGATAATTCCACACAAAAAAACTAGACACAACGAAACATATAAGCGCACCTCTGTTATCAATTTATTATCAAAATCTTGGTGAATTAAGAACAAAACTAAAGTCTCTGGAAATTGCCATAGCTCAATGTAATTATCATATAATCATTTTAGTGGAAACTTAATTTCTTGTAAAGATGGCGATGCAGAATTCGGACTTATTGGTTATAACGTGTTTAGAAATGATCGTAATCCTGCTTATACAGGAAAAACTAGGGGTGGAGGTGTGCTGATTGCTGTTAAAAATGACATAAGTGCGCAGAAAGTGATAATCCCCGATTGTGAAGTAGAACAAATTTTTGTATCACTGAAAGTTAATAATAAGTGCATAGTTTTGGGTGGAGTTTATATCCCTCCTGCATCCGACCTAAATGTATACATGTTGCACTGCAGTTCAGTTGAATATGTGATTGAGAAGTGTGAAAACTTGTTACTGTGTGGTGATTATAATTTGCCAAATGCTTCCTGGAGTAATGACAACTTTGGATTAAATGTTGAATGCCCTGAAGACTATCCTGCTGTGTATTTCTTTTGGTTATTTTAATATCTTTCAAATAGACAATTTACCTAATAGTCGTAATGTCTTTCTAGATTTAGTATTTACTAATTTAAATAATGTTGATGTAGTTATTCCACTTGATTCACTATTTGGTAATAATATCCACCATTCACCTATAATTGTAGAAATAACTGGTTTTGAAAAGCATGATCAACTGAACTACGAGGAATTTTATTATGATTTTAAAAATGCAAATTACATTGGACTAAATGATTACTTTGCAAATTTAAATTGGGACTTACTTTTATCAGATGATGTGAATTACAGCTTAGCAGTATCTTATGATTTTATATTTATAGGTTTTGACTTCTTTGTTCCGATCAAAAAATTTAAAACAAGTTCGTGTCCGATTTGGTTTAATGGCAAATTAAGGAAGTTGATATATTTAAAAAAGAAAATACATAAGCAGTATAAATTATTTGGTAGAAGGGATGATTATTTAAGATTTTCTCAGTTAAGAAATGAATGTAAACAAGTCTCCTCTCAATGTTATAGTAACTATTTGAATAATATTGAGAATGTGATTCTATCTAATCCTCGACATTTTTAGAAGTATATCAATAATAAACGTAAAAGTTATAATCTGCCATTATGTTCTACGCTGATAGTACAAGTTATAATGCTCCAGACTTAGTTAATCTATTTGGTAAGTTTTTCTCAACTACATATTCTAATTCTAAAATTAATCAGTCCCCAATTTTTAACTATCAGCAGAGTGTAAATGTGAATAATTATAGTATTGAGGTCTCTGACATAATTTATCGTGTTTTAAAGATGCCTTGGAAATTATCGTTTGGAGCAGATTGTTTGCCAGCTTATGTTCTCAAGCATTGCATTTTTTACTCTTGTAAAACCTATCTGCTGCTTATTTAATTCCTCATTGAGTATCGGCATCTTTCCTGATCTTTGGAAGACTAGTTATTTAACACCAATTTTCAAATCTGGTAATAAAAATGATGTTGAAAATTATCGAGCGGTTTGTAACCAATCTGTATTACCCAAACTCTTTGAGTGTCTTGTAAATAACTTTTTGACATTAAATTGCAAAGATTTAATTGATGTTAGACAACATGGCTTTTCTAAAGGTGCACGAACATGCACGAACTTAATATTGTATACGAATTTTATAGCTAATTCAGTGGAACAGAAGGGTCAGGTTGACGCTATCTACACAGACTTCTCAAAAGCCATCGATAGAGTTAACCATGATCTGCTTATTGCTAAATTAAATGGCTATAGATTTGGTGGTAAAATAATTGAGTGGATAGGTAGTTATATATCTGGTATATGTCAGTATGTTAAATATGGAAATTGTTTATCTCAACGAGTATCCGTAACCTCAGGAGTTCCTCAGGGGTCTCATATTGGACCTCTCTTGTTTAATGTATTTGTTAATGATATATCCTAAGTGATTAAAAATAGTAAATTTCTAATGTTTGCTGATGACCTTAAAATATTTCGAATAGTTAATGACCTAGTTGATGCCTCTTTGTTATAGAATTGCATTAAAAGCTTAGCTAGTTGGTGTGAGGTACTTTTGGAAGAACAAGAGAGTTTGTAAATTATGATTATTGTATAAATAATGTACATTTAGAAGCACGTCATACTATTAAAGATTTAGGTATAAATTTTTATTCTAAACTAACTTTTAACGAAACTTCAGCTAAAACTTTAAAAATGTTGGGATTTATTCTTAGAAACTGTAATCAGTTTTCAGTACAAACTTTTAAAATGTTATACTGTAGTTTAGTTCGATCAGTTTTGGAGTATGATTCTCTCATTTGGTCTCCTTCATATAACTGTGACATCTACAGCATCGAGAGAGTTCAAAATAAATTCTTGAGGGTATGTGCTTACAAAATTAATTTTATTAGACATCAATACACATATGATGATATACTGTCAATAATAAATATCTCATCACTAAATGATAGAAGATGTCAAGCGGATTTATGTTTCCTTTTTAAAATTATAAATGGATATCGCACCTTGAAAACCATAGGGTAGTAACTGCAAAAATCATCATGTTGAGTTATAAGCATTTCAATTTTTATTAAAGTTAATACTATTTACTGTAATTCCAAAAATTAAGCTACAAACCTGGTATTTAGCATAATTGTCTTTAATTTTGCATATTTCTATATGCAGTAAATAGTATGTGAAATGTCCTTCAGGAAATAGGTATTTTAGCACATACGGCCATATGGTTTTAAAAAATATATTAATTTTGGAAAATGATGCAGTAAAATTCCTATCAAATAAAAGTTTTTTAATTTAAGATTGTACCTATTTATTAAAATTTTTTGGTTTTAACACTTAATCAAAGTCATGCATATTGTAATATGTTTGTTCGGTTTCTACTGTTCCATTGTTTACATGTAAAACTGCATAAAACCTATGGTAGTGCTCTTGAATAACATTAGCCTTACATAGTGAGAGCAGATCTTGTTTTTTTAGAGTGGATATTCCTGGTGGATGTGATATGCTTTACTTAGTTCCGTATTAGCCACCAACCCTCGTTGTCTTCGCCTTATAGTACTAGTTCTGAGCTCTGTATCGTGGTAGCTTGTCTTAACCTGAAACTTATTTTCAAGTGTTTTCTTTACCTTGATCATCTTAATCTCATTCCAGACGACCTGATTTCCTTCTTCGTCAATGTTATAATTGTTTCCCATTTCCTTACATAATTTTTTAAAGTAAAATATATCCAATGTAGACATTTCATTAATTTTGTAAGGTACGCCTGATTTTTTCACAGTTTGAACTACTGTGACTCATTGCAAAAGGCATATAAATTGTTCTTCTTTTTAACGCCGTTTTTTTGTTTCTTAATCAAAGAATGCATGTTTCTTCCTCATTTTGGGAGTGACCCGTTATCAAAAATTTGTGGGTAATGTTAGATATGTTCAATTTCTCTATTGCATAGAGATAAAGACAGACAATATACTTATTCTTATTTTGCCCACTGCAGTTATCCGAAAATAATTATTTCCTGTTCTCTGGCATGGTTCCTCAGAAATAATAACAGGCACGGCGCTATTTGCACGAACACGATTAACAATTCCTTCGAAACAAAGACAGCAGTGTCCTGCATTTGTGGTAATGTCAAAAATTGCAAAATTCAATGTTGATAATCTCCTTTTATAATAAAATAAGGGGACATCGCCTGAAGGTGTCGGACGGCTTGTAAGTCAAAACAAGCAGTAATGTAAGTGTTGGATTTTGCAGGTTTTGATTCATTTTCTTTCTCTTTTCTACTAAGTTCAACTTCTTGACGGTGAGTATTATAGGCTACTTCCAATGTAGATTTATCTAATGAATTTTTGTAACTTTCACATAGCGAGAAGAAGTCTTTTTTGGACTTAAATAAGCGTATATTAAATTCCGTGTTTAACATGGTCCCAAACATAGTGTAATTTCCGAACATCGTACCTTTTTGTTCGCAAAATTTTATGTAATTTTATTTAATATTATAAAATAATTGTTTCAAATAGATAATGTGAGCACTTTGGTCCCGTTCTTTATTTTATTAAATAAAATTTGAATTATGGTTGTTTGGAATAATTCCTTCTGCATAATAATTATTGTTATTGTTATATATTATATTGATATTTACGTTAAGGGCTTTAACTTTTGAATTGAAAATATTGCGAAAATATAGCATTTATTATGTTAGTCCATAGATATATTTTTTTTAATCTAGTGAAATTCTAGTGATTTTTTTAGTCAAATGTAGACACTTTTATAAATGTGACTGGCAACAATATGGTACTTTTAAATACAGTCTGTCGACAAAGGGTTAATCCAACATCATTTATTACACGAAAAATATCCTACAAAATTGTAGAAAATTCAAACTTCTATTGTTCATGGTTCTTGAATTGCTTCTTACTACGTTTAACTAAATTAAACACGATTGTTTACTCACAAGATGAAAACAACAGATAAGTAGTTACAGGCAATGTAGCATTTATTTGGCATTAACTGCTGATATTGCCAGATAAATCTGAGTTTTTGTTCCTATTTTAGAACCATAGAGCAACAACTGCAGATAATGCGTGATGGTATATAAAAAAGAATCGATTTTTTAAAAAAGCCATAAGGACGTATCTTTCTGGTGCCGAATTTTAAATTCGTTGTAGATGCTGCTATATAGCATTAAAAAATAGATTTGTTTTTCTATTAGACTGCATTCAAAGGTCATTTCACGAAAAAATTGCAGATATTGCCATATGGTTTTCAAGGTGCGATATGTTCAAGATCCAGAGTTACTAAGTTTAATAAATTTTAATGTTAATACTAGAAGAACTCACGAATTATGGCCAAAATGAACCAATTACAAGAATTTTACGAACTGCCAATGAGCACAGCAATAGTGTAGAGTTATTTGGAATATCTAGAGCAACATTTAAGCAATTATTTTAGAGATTTTGAGCATTATTGAATAACTTAAGCTACTACTTTAATTGAATTTTGTTTGATTTTAATTTTGGTTTGTTGTTTATTAACGCAACCTATATATAAGCTTTGTAAAGGTTGACGTCATATTTCTGTAAAAATGGTATATTCGTTAATTAAATAAATAAATAAAAATAAATAAATAAATATTTCTGGAGTTAACGTCACTGTATCCACTGCATCCAACGTGATTTTCATAATACGTTTTGCCAGATGTGAACGATGGGATTAAACTGGCAGTTGTATGGTCGTAACCTTAATACTTAATGTCCATAACCTAATACAAAGGTAAACTATATAAACTGTTAGTTTTTCATTACGTTAAGAAATTTCTACTAACTCAGATTTGAAGGTGTATTCCGGAAAATTGATACTATTTTTAACTAACCAATGTTTTATGCTCGGTATGTTCCACGACTGGTTTGGTTGTTTTTGGTTATTTCTTCGAAATCTCTAAATGGTAAGGTGCATTATCTAAAAGTACTGCTAGTGCAATATACTAAAACTGATGGTTTACTCAGACTAGGTAACAGTTACTCCTCAAGCCATTTAAGAAAAATATCTACATTAATGTTTTCACTTCACGGAGAACACCAGTGCAGTTTATCGTGCTTTTTCTACAAAGAAAGGTTTTCTGCGAAAATTGTTTAGAGCTGTAAGTTGGTTGAATGTACTGTAGATAGTCACACTAGGAAAGTTTTAAGAGATAGAGAAAAAAATTTAGACGGTGAGGTCAAGAAAACGAAATATCTGAAAATCAGTTTAGGTTTATGCAAGATAGCTGCTTTCTACATAGTTTTCTATTGATCAAACGTAGAATTAAAGCTTTCCTACGATTTATTCAAATATAGATTATGTAAAGGAGGTACTGTGTTCTTGGAATGCAGCCAGTTCTGTATTGTTTTCCAATTTAACTGATGTACCTAATAATGTTTGTCAAACATTTTATTAATATAAAGTATTTGTTGTGCGTTTATTGTTTGATCTAAAAATTTCACCAGGTGTATTAAATAGTAAACTTACCAGTTTTAGAGCCTCTAAGTTCTGCTGGATTATAACCAGCATCAATAATACTTTCGTATACTGTTTCTAGAAGTATTCGATGTCGAGGATCTGTAAAATCTGTCTGCTTAGGATGAATACCGAAGAAGGATGCATCAAATTTATCTATATCCAAAAGAACACCACTTCTTTTTGGAACGCCCATAACACCTAGAAAAGTTATATGTTACTACATTATTAACTAATTATTACCCATTCATGTGAATATATAAATATTGTATGTCTACTTGAACTTGCATGATAAGGGAATGATACAGGATCAAGTCTATTTGCCAGAGAAAGTTTTTTATAAAACACTTTTTATTATATGAAAATAAATTTTTTTTTGGATGTTAACAAAATGTTTATAAGATATAGTAAAAGTAATGTCATTTCAGTCTGATTTTGACCGATGGGATGAGTTGGCGACGTTTAGGGTTGTTGTGATTTGCGGTTAATTTGCATAGACACACGACTAGAGAAAACCCCATACAAAAGGGGCCATACCGCAAGATTTTGATGGCGAATTGATATCAACTTCATGTGAGATGATATTTTTTGAATGTCTAATGTAGCATGAGCTGTATGGTACGTAGCAATGTCCTGTTAAACCATGTGTATCAGATTTCTATCCCAATTCAGCCTAAAAGATTTTGGTAATCACCGACCTGTCCCCACTAACGTTTTGATTAGTCCTTCTGTAGGTAGTTGAAGCCTCGACATTAAAGTTAAACACTACGAGATGACTAGAAGCTCTTGAAATGTGGTTTTAATGTAGAATGCTTGAAATATTATGGATACAGCACATAATGGATCGGACAGTAAAAAACATCATAGACATAGAGCTAAAACTTATCAAAAAAAAAACAACAATTTATCAAGAAAATAAAGACTTTATACCTAGACCATATATTGGAAAATGACAAATATAACCATAAGTAGATAGACGAATAATGTCGTGGTTTCAAAATATCAGAACTCGGACGGCTATGAACGTTCAATAATTAATAAGAGCGGCGCAGAGCAGTAATAGATTGTACCAGAAGAAGAATCATTGACTTAAAGCACTTATCATTGCCGGTGATGGCTTGGCTGATATTGTTCGCAAATGTAAATGAACTGACGACGCTATCTGCCAAAATTGGTATAGTATTAAATTTAACAATTCTGTTTTTAACGTAGCCATTCATCCAAAATTTGACTTAATTGCTAAAGATGATTTTTTAATGAAAATTCATCATTCAATTTATAATAAAACTTAACCGACTTAACAACGGCTTCCCAAATTCCGCCAAAGTGCGAAGTATTAGGCGGAATAAACCGCCAATCAATTCTTTCTTGACATCTTGCAGAGGATATAGTCATAATGGCCACTCATGTGAATCCAAGATTAGCGTCCAGAAATTTTCAAAATCATTTAGACCAATTAGAAAATTGAAATTGGTTCTCAAAAGAGAGAACTGCTCTCAGGTAGCTATAAACTACTACTACCTGCTTGAAACGATATCAGATATCTAGTTAACCATATAGTTAATCACCTAAATTGGAAAAAAACATATATGGTCCAAACTGTTTTACATGTTTTGCAAAACATGCGCCAACAAAAACATGATCCAACATACTTTACAAAAAAATGTATTGGTTATTAAATCCGAAGTAAGGTTTTAGTATCCAAAACAAACTTCGTAATGTCTGCAATGCCCTATGGGATGTGCTGAACGATGTTATTCATTATGACCTGAATGTTGAAAGAAGCAACTTCCACTCAATGTACAAAACTACTCAAAAAAATATTATCTCATTCAAATCCACCCGACAACGAAAGTTGGTCATTTAGAATGATGTCTGTATTTTATAATTAGTTGACTAAATATATAGGTAAACTTGCTCAACACTGGATGTAGTTTCCACTGTGTCATTTTTTCTGCCTTTTAAACAAATTGTTAATTTTTTATTGATAACAGATTGCAATAAATAAAGAAAGTTGGTAAAAGCTATGCAATATTTAACATTTAACAGCATCTAGCAATTTTTAATTACAATATCGGAATCATCATCATCACGTAGCGCTACAACCCTGGGTGGGTCTTGGCTGACTGTACAACTTTTTTCCAATTTGTGCGGTCCTCCATCAACCTAGGGTCAAATGGAATGTTCATTTTCCGGAGATCTGCTTAGATGTTATTTCTCTCATTTTATTGTTTCTCTGTTTCTTTTTATACAGCACGTCTACTGCTAAATGAATTCCATGTGCATAGCACAGTTGTTGATAGCAATGCATGAGCTTGCCAACTTTCACCATACCGGATGCGCCGTCGGTTGTGATACCAATGGTGTCGGATTCAATCATTAATCCAAAAATTTTTAACCGTTCTGCCACTAACTCAGAGCAGTGTTTGGCACGTCCTACCTGCTAGCGCGATTGAATGGCAAGTTGTCGACCCACAGCTTTGAATAAAGAGACTACTGAAGACATGAAGTAACTTATTTTTAATTTGACACATATGCGGATCCTCGCTGCTGGATCCAGCATGGTCTGCTGGATCCAGCGTATAAAAAAACGCTGGATCCAGCTGGATTGCTGAATGCTGTGTCCAGCAATTGAAATCTCTAATCTTACTCAATAAATTAAAAAAAAATTGTGTATAATAGTTTGTAAAACATAACAATGTTTTTATAAAAAATATTCATCGATAATAAAATTTTTTAATACTGTAACATTGGTTACAATAATTTTTCTACCAAGTGATTCAAAATTTGCACTTACAATGAGATTATTTTGTTCAATAAATTTATATTTACATTATATAGGATAAAAGTAATTGTACCAAAACAAAGAATATCCTTTATATACAGTATGTAACAGCCAAATGGAATAAATTCATTATTTAGGTTATTGTACCTATTTATAAAAAATCCCGAAACATGTCAAATTTAAATTATAACTTGACATTCTTTACCGTGAAAATGCAACCCCTACCTTCAACCCCCTTAGAATGAGAGGTACAACCCCCAATTTTTAAAATAAGAAGTATAGGCTTGTGATATATCGTTTGAAAAGTCTTTTCATTCTCCATTCAAAAATGTTGTCCAAGCAAGTTGCTCCCATACAGTTGCTTCCATACAGTCCTTGTAGACACACCGTCTCAGGACTAGCAACTTTAACGTGGAGTCATATGTCGCCATGTTACATTATCCAACGGTAACTTTAACATCATAACATATTATAAAAAATATTGTATACCAAATGTAACTAATTATTTGTTAACGGGTTTTTACCCATATATTTAGAGGCTGCATTTATGTACTTCTAGATACTGATGATGGACTATGGATTCCGAAAACGTTTTGTATAATTAGCTCGTTAGGGTTTTTAAATATATACCTTTTATAAAAGTTTTTTAACAAAATTTTTTTTAGAAAACATAACGTCTTCTAATTGGATAATATTGTTATCCAACATGTCCATCATTTGCTCACAAAAAAAGTTCTCCTATCAAAATCGTCTTCCATGAGCTCCTGAGAATGTATCATCTTATAAGGATGCAATTTATTTTCTTTTAATATGTTTAATATTGATGTATGGCTAGCATTGAATGTAGTGGATGCCTGTCTACTCGATGTATGTGGATTTTCCTGAAACTCAAGCAACACATCTAATTTGAGTTCATCACTCCGTGCATTGGCAGCTGCTTTTTTTTATTTGTCTTACATGACCAAATTCGCGAAACTGCCTCTCTATTTTACTAATTGTTCCTTGGGATATAGGCGGTAAATTAAGAAATTTCTCATGATATAGGCGAGTTACTTCCTGTTTTGTTCGGGTGTTATCTCCGTAACCAATCATTTATAAAACTGTTATTTTATGCATTTCCGTTAATCTAACCATTTTTCAGAATTGAATTGAATGAACTTTTTACTTAAATTAAAATACTGACAACTTAAATAAAACAATTTACTAATGCATGTTAAAATAACGTTGCCACGGAAATTCTGTAAAGTTTTTTAATAGTTACCATCTAAAGACCACATTGCTATAGTTTTTGTTTACTTTTTCATTATCAAGACCTAAACGGAAAATAAGGTGTGAGTATATTTTAGCGAATTTCGGTAACCACAGGATTTTAATTTATTTTATCTTGATTAATCTTGAAAAACTTGATTATTTTTGAATTTTTGAATGGAGAATAAAAAGACCTTTCAAACGATATATCACAAGCCTATACTTCCTATTTTAAAAATTAGGGGTTGTACCTGTCATTCTAAGGGGGTTGAAGGTAGGGGTTGCATTTTCACGTTAATGAATATCAAGTTATAATTTAAATTACACGTGTTTCGGGATTTTTTATAAATATGTACAGTAACCTAAATAATGAATTTATTCCATTTGGCTTTTAGACACTGTATTTTATTTAATCCATAGTTGAAAAACATTGTAAGTGGTGTTACAATGTTATCTATATCATAATGTCGATGTTATAAAATTATAAAAATGATTAAAATTGATTTTTTAGAATCCATAAAGAAATAGATAAAGAAAAGATGATGCTAGTTAATTGAGTATTATTAAAATATTCGACCAATGGCGTAACAAAAAATGGGTAAATTCCAAATATTACTCTGATTTATGAATAAAATATTTAAGAAAGAAGTATAACTTTACCCGCTGGATATCTTTGACTATTTTCTTTTATTAAATCTACACCACTGAGAAGCGCTTCCTTAAACTCTTCAACATTTGCACACTGAGGAAACTTCCCGGAAATTCCTGTGATAACAATTTTGTCGTTTTCCACAATATCCTTCATGATTTCAAAATGTCACACTACGTTAAACAAGAGAAAAATGCAGACTAACAGAACCCGATCATACTGTAAAATATTTATTAGTATAAGTCATTGATTTTTTTATTTCATAAGTCAAAATGTCATTTGTATATATTAACACAATTTATTGGCTGCATTGAATGCTAATTTCCGAGGACTAAGAGACGGCAAATTTTGCAACAAACTGCAAATTTACTGATAATATTACTGCTTGTCGAGTATTTTCATTCATGACATGTAAGCTTAAAAAATACATTATGATTTTAAAGGTAAAGCAGTTACTAAGAGATACAGAAATATTTTTGTTTATTAAAAGCAAAGAATTTAAAATATAAAATGCTAAACTTAACCATTTGGTCATAGAAATCCAAATAATAAGATTAGGATATAGAAAACGATTTAAAATAACATTAAATCATTTTGGTTTTGTTCAGGTTTTAATATTTATAACTATGTGATTATGTTGAAACACATCTTACTTGTACCAGTCTCAGATAGAATAATATTACTCTAAATAAATATTTAACCATTTAAAACTAACATACTTTAAATCTATCCCCGTCTGCAGATAGAAAATATGACGATGAAGTCGAGAAGTTGTATGATCAGATACAAGACATCTTATAGAAACTTAATAAACACGAAATTTTATATATTATAGGCGACTTCAATGCAAAAATTGAGGAAAGTCGACGAGATCAGACTAAAGGTCCTTCTGGTCTAGGATAACCTAACGATCAAGGACAGATATTGTACAAATTTCCCGGTCCAGTCGCGAATGTTTTTCCCCTTTTCCTTAGATTTTACCCTTCATCATTAGCTGCAATAACTCGTACTTATCATTTCTAAGTATGTGCCCAAAATATGCTGTCTTTCGCCTTTTAATGGTGGTTAAAAGTTCTCTGTCTCTTCCCATTTCGTTCGTAATATTATCTTTTTCTTCATGTACCATGTCCTTTCAGAACTTTGGTTACCATCATAGCTATTTTAATTTTATGCACTGCTACCTATATAGCATGCTTGTATCAACACCATACCAATCTCGCAAGCTCTTCAACCATGAGGTTCTTCTTCGTTTTGGACTGCGTTTGCCTGACGAAATCCTGTAATATGATCGGTCCATGATATCTTCAAAATTCTCCTAAAAGCCATATCTCAAAAGCTTTTGGTTTTCTCATTAAGTCAACATTACCAGTCCAGGCTCCGACATCATATAGAAGAATAGAGTGGATATTATAACATTTTACCATCCAATGTCGTATTTGCAGATTGAGTCTTTGGTTACTCAGAAATTTCCTAATCTTCAAAAAAGCTGCTCTTTATTGCTTCATTCTTGAGCGAATTTCTGATTTTGGATTTAGAACTTCCGTAATCCAGACTCCTAAGTATTTAATTTTGTCCACTTGTTCAGTCTTTTTATTTTTTTATCTGGATTCTTGTAATTACTTTGCTCCTATTACTGATAACCATGGTTTTTGTTTTTTTTTATCTTTATTGTTAAACCAAACTGTTCCCCAGTATCAAAAATTGTGTTTAGTAACGTCTGCATGTCTATCTCACTTTCAGCAGTAATGTACTGTATTATCAGCATAACGGATGTTATTTATATTTTCACCATTTATCTTCGTCGATCGGATAGCCAAGCGGGCTGGGCGGCTGGCTTCTCCTTCGCTTCACTGCGTGAAATGTCAGTTCAATCCCCAGCTCGGTGTACAGAAAACAAAAAGGCTAACACAGCAGTTTAAAATATCTAAATGAATCTGCGGCTTAGTATAGAATATGCTGGTATCTGATCGGCCTATGGTGGAGCAGTACGACAAAAGATAAGGGCTTGCGGCTCGGTGGTACTCTATAGATCCCTACCGGAAGGGCGTGTGCCGCCTAAATACCGAGTATATATATATATATATATATATATTATATATATATATATATATATATATATATATATACCCGATATATATCACTTTTATCTTGATCCATTCTGCACAGTTTTCAAGTTCTTAAGTAAATAACTTTTCGGATTATATATTAAATAGTAATGGTAAAAGGATACAAACCTGTCTCACTCCTCTACTTATCTGTTGCGCATCCGTGCTATTTCCATTTAATTTACCACAGATTGTTGGTTCCAATAGAGATTTCTCACAATGTAAATGCCATTTTTGTCGAGTCCTGTTCTCTTTGTCGTAAGCTTTCTCATAGTCTATAAATGCAACGAAAAGATCTTGTTGCTGGTCTTGACATTTTTGGACAAGAATTGTGAAACTATACAGAGCTTTCACTATTCCAAAGCCGTTACGAAAGCAAAACTGTCTATTGCTCATATCCGCTTCGCACTTTCTGAATATTCTTGCATGTATAATCTTTAAAAATGTTTTTAATAAGTGTGACATTAAGCTGATTAATCTATAGTCATAACAGTGTTTGGGGTTCTTGGTTTTTGGTAGCGGAATAAAGGGCGATAGCAGCCATTCTGTAGGTATCTCACTTACTGAGATACCTACAATTTGTAACGGGTAGCTTTTTCGGGACGACAGACTCAGTAAAACACAGGTTAAAATAAAAATATGTCTATTAATTTAATGTATGTACAATAAAAATAAAAATAAAATAAATTCTTCGCCGTATAAAATAAAAATAAAACGAATTCTACGTCTCGTCTGGATCCCTCGACGAAGGAACTCCCCGGTGAACGTCTATAAAAGAAAGAAAAATTTACTATTAATAACAACAAATCAAATATGTGAATTCGATCGCACGCAGACTTATACTCGCTTCCGTTTCAATACAGCGGAAGCTCCGATCACACTCGCACGCAAAAATACTCGGCTGTGCAGGCCCACGGCGATTGTTCAGTACACAATGCCGACGGATTTTGCATAGTTAAGGACAGAGTATAATCCTCAGTGCAGAAATTCCGCTATTCCGCGACCAATTTCGCTACTCACATGCCTTAAATAGCCGCTCCGAATCCCACTCACCATCTCGCTGAAGAGGTGACTGCGCCAACCTTGACACTCCCGCGGTTCAAACTGTTGAACGGTGAGGACATCGTTACAACCCCTTCTCTTTGGAAAAAAAAGTAACATTCCTCTTTTTTTGTATATGGCGTCTACAGCCTTGTAATGCCATCTATCCCTTTCGGTATCTTTATTACAATCTTTCTCCCGTTGTTACACTACAATCTGTATCTTTTGGTCCCCCTCTCTATTAGGTGTTGTGGGACGATCTCTACCAGATCGGCGTGTTTACGGGTTCTGGTTTTCCTGGAGTGGACGCGGATTGGGTCAGGTCCTGTTATCGTATCGGGTACGCTTTTCTTCTTTGGTAGTGTTGGTGGTGTCCCGAAAAGTTCGTGGAATCTTTTTATGATCTTCTCCGCGTCTTTCCCTGGTGTCACGGGCAGTTCGGGTCTCTCAGTCCTTATTTAGGGGCTCTGGCAGATTTTTAGTTGTTTATAGCATGTTGGACTTCAGATTTTATATTATTGGAATTTCCTCGTTATCAATTTAGTCCATCCTTGTTTTATTTCAATTGGGTTATTATTAGGTTTATTGTTTTTGTCAATTAATTGGCTAGGTGTATTTGTTCGTGATTTCCCAGGTAATTATTTTTTTTATGTAAATTATAATGACCATGCTTTTTTTGAAATTCTTTCACTTTGATGCATGTTTTTATCATCCACTTTTCCTTAGCCTCTTTTATTTTGTTTCTTATTACTTTATGTTTTTCTCTGTACTTATATGGGTTTTTGTTTCTATATTTTTTCTTCAATAATTAGTAATAAAAAGACACAATTGCTATATTGGTTGTTGGTTTACGTTTTAGTTTTTTTTTTTTATTTATATCGCATATTAATGGTATTAGTGGTTTTTCATTCGTCTACATGGACTTAACAAGTTTTTCCCCGACAAAGAAAGACTTATCACGTTCTTTCCCTGTAAAATCATTGTCTGTCTATTTTTTATAAACAATGAAATACGTAAATAGAGCAAATATATTTTTAATGTAAAAAGTATCACTTGAAACATTGTTGAAAGAATGTTTAAAAAACATTTAATTAAATTATTCAGCTTTCCAGTTACTTTATATTATCATGGTTCATTTTTTGTTTTGGCTGTAAGTTTGTCATGATAAGCATTAACTCTGATGCCACAAAAATTTTTAAAAGACTGGAAATAGACAACAACAAAAAAAAACAGAAACGGTATAGAAAGTTAAAACAGTTTTTCAAAAGGATTTTTTCTTAAAAAAAATCAAATAATAGAATGTCAAATGTTAAGTAATTTTGCTAATTGTATAGTACAATCCTCACAAGGTATGTTTTGAGAAAGAGTTACTAAAAGTTGAACATTTGGTTCAGGGTTAAATGACGATGATCCTGAGAGAAGGCAAGAATTCTGTAAAATGATGATGTACAGAATGAACCCAGATTTGAAGTTCATAAACAAAATAGTTTTTTCTGATGAAGCGGCGAACGGTTAACAAACAAAACTGTAGATATTGGAGCAGTGAAAATCCTCACTGGGTATGTGAGACTCACACGCAATGTACTAAAAAAGTTAACGTTTGGGCCGGCATCATTAACAATAAAAATTATTGGTCCTTATTTTTTTGAGGGCACAGTTGATGGTGAGATTTATCTAAATTTTTTGATTACCTTTTTAGTGCCTACATTACGAAGATTTTTTTCTAATAATAATTATCCACATGAGATAGATCGATCTATTTACTACCAATGAGACGGATCTCCACCGCATTTTGCACGTATAGTTAGAAATTATTTAAGCGAGGTTTTTCCCAATACGTGGATTGGAAGACGTGAAACGATCGAATGTCCAGCTAGATTTCCTGATTTGACTCTCTCGATTCGACTCTCGATTACTTCTTATGGGGTAATTACAACGATAGCAACAGTATTGCTGATTTAAAAGCTAGGATAATGGAAGAAATTAACAAAATAACCCCCGAGGTCGTAC